AATCAGTTGGTTTAATTAACACTCAACTTAGATTGAAGAAATATGAATATGGCAAGGTAGTTTCTATGAAAACCGAGACACTTGCTTTGGAATTACCCAAAGCTGGTTGAAGATTGTAGTTGAATTACGTGAGCAAAAGGCAACCATGCAATTTGAGAGAAAGTCTTCAAGGATTCCACATGCATATTTGTTCACAAATGTTTTTATTGCCATGCCATTTTAAAGAAACTGTAAACCATGGGTTTTGCAGTGTGGGAACAGTTTGTAGTTTTTTTCAAGACCCGAGGCATGTTAATACCACTCAGCAGCACTTTAACCAATGAAAAAGTCTTAGTCCTACACAGAATGATTTATATAATTTAAATTAAAATGAAATATATAAATGACTCCCTCTTTTGATCAAATATTTAAATTTACCTACTGCCCAATTACCAGTTTTTTATACACTCTGTCCCTGTGTGTGTATATGTGGTTTTATGTAGCTAATGTAATCATAGACTCAAAGATGTGATAAGTGTTGTTAGAGAAAACAAACTTTGGGAAATGATGTGATTGCTGAAATTCATAGACTGACTCAGATGCCTTTGATTCGAGTAAAAGGTGCATCATTTCGGGGAGTCTTTTACTTGAATCAAAGGCAGCTGTGCCAGTCCAATGCTTTTTCCAGAAATATTTGATTTTGGTGGTGTTTTGTGTTACTGACGATGAGCTGTACACTGCTTAGAATAGATGGAACAGCAAGGCAATTTAGAATCCCAAACTCAGCCACATATTTGGGACTTTTCTTGCCTTTTTAAGGCATTGGCATTAAGTAGCTGTGGGGCAAAAAGAGCTGCTCAGTACTTACTCTATTTTAACTCTTTAAAGAGTAAGGAAGCAGCCGGGCATGGTGGCTCAAGCCTGTAATCTCAGCACTTTGGGAGGCCGAGGTGGGTGGATCACCAGGTCAAGAGATCGAGACCATCCTGGTCGACATGGTGAAACCCCATCTCTACTAAAAATACAAAAAATTAGCTGGGCATGGTGGCGCGTACCTGTAATCCCAGCTACTCAGGAGGCTGAGGCAGGAGAATTGCCTGAACCCAGGAGGTGGAGGTGGAGGTTGCGGTGAGCCGAGATCGCGCCATTGCACTCCAGCCTGGGTGACAAGAGCGAAACTCTGTCTCAAAGAAAAAAAGAGTAAGGAAGCAATTATTGTTTGTGCCTCATGTTACCATTCTTCAAGCACAGTGCTCTGAGCCTGAAAAAGAAATCAATAAATCAGTATATACTAAGTGCCAGCAATATTGTTCAAAACATTACTTTTCCACGGGGGACACAACCATGAATAAAACAAACACGGTTGAGTGCAGTGGTATGTGCCTGTACTCCTTGATACTCAGAAGGCTATGGTAGGAGGACCACTTGAGCCCACAAGTTTGAGGCTGCACTATGAATATGTGAATAGTCATGGTGCTTCAGCCTGGACAACATAGTGAGACTCTGTTTCTAATTTAAAAAACAAAAGAAAACAGACACAGTCAATGTGTGCCTTCTTAAGATTTCTAACAGCAAAGAATTTAAGTCTAGGTTGTAAGAGCTATAAAAAGTGGTATTATTGGAATGTGTAACTGGAGATAGGACCTAGTCTGAAGGAATAGTGTAGAGGGTGGGGGTCAATGAAGGCTGGCACATGGAATTGACATTTTAGATGAACTGTAATGTATAAGTGGGAATTGTCAGGTGAATGGGGAAGGTGAAGGGAAATTTGTGGAGAGTAGGCAGTGCAGAGCAAATCTGGCAGAGAGAATAGTCTGTCCAGAGACACTGAGGTAAGAAGGTGCATATTTGGATTTGACAATGCAAATATTGAAAAGAAAGCCTGTAGATACGTGTAATAAAGAGGAAGGGAAGGGTGAAATAGATGGTGATGAAGAGGAAATACACAAGGGCTCTTGGGTATGGAAGATCTTAGAGAAGGTACTAGTGCCTAGCCCTAAATAATAATCGGGTGTTATTGCAGAGTTTTTAGAGCTGTATATATCCTATTTTTAAAATTTGACCACTTTATGGAAATTGGAATGCAGGAGAGATGACTGATGTGGGAGACCTGTAAGTAGGATGGTGGCAAGGGATAGGATGGTAGCATTAGAGACACAGATGAGGGCATGCAAAATTTATGTTCAGACAGACACACTTTGTAGTTTTGTTTTGCTTTTGTGTTTTCAATTAAAATTTCATTACTTTTTGCATTCCTAGTTAACCTTCTTAATTCTTTCTTGCAACCATTCCATGAAGATGCATAAGCTTCAGGTCCCTACTGTAAATTTTTTCAGAGTTGGGTTGGTGTTGTCACTTATTCTTTTGGCCATATAGGGATTATGTCCTTTTATTTTTAAATTGAAGAAATTACAGCTTATTAGTAATAATAACCTCAAGTGTCAGTAATAAGATGCATTATGTAATAGCCCAGTTGTTTTACTAGACTAAGAATTACATATAGGGAGAATATGTTAAGCAAAGTGAAAAAGAGTTTTGACTGTTAGAATAGTTGCTATTAAGAGCTCTAATAGCAAGCTATGTAGCAGGTGCAATAGAAGTGTGGCTATTGTGTAAATGAAGTATTTTCTTACTCATTTTCACATTGCATTTATTACATATTTATCATGTGATTTTAGAAAGTTCTTCACTGTCATCAAAGTATTTTTCAATTTTGTTAAGCCAAACGTTACTAGAAATTGTTAGTATATATCCTTTTAAGTGGGAAGCAGTGTGCTATTGTTGTTCTTCCTAATCTAGAAAGTTCTTTTGAGTTGAGATATATATTAAGTTTGTGTCAAGTCAGTGGAAATAAGTCAAGCAGAAGGAAAATAACCTCAGAAAGAGATACAGGGTATTTGTACTTTTTTTTCCTATTTTTCCTACCCTCAGCATATTTCTATATTGAAAATAGAAATCTGTACATCAAATTTAAAATAATTTGTATGTATTTGCATTGCCTGATGATTTTATTTGTTTAAAATGTCCTTACATCCTCTATAGTGAATCAAGATGAATTTAAAATGCCTTCTAAATTGGTAATTTTTATTTTGTGTGAAAATTTCAGTAAATTAAATAGCATTGTATCATGAAACAGGACAGATGTAACTTGAAAGATTATATATTCTGCTTTCTTCTAAATTTATCAGAATGAACCTTTTATGGATTAAATGAGCTATGGCCTATGCTAAGTAAATTTTGTTTTTATAAACTTTCAAGTATGGATGATTTTGAATAAATATTCATGTTAAGATTTTTGAAAGATGCTTACACAGATTGTGATTTTTTTAAAATAAAAATGATTCTGGAGATTGCTGCGTTTAAGTTTTTATTTTAGGTTTTATGTTGAGACTGAATATTGTTACCAAGTTTAGTTATATGCTTATATGCATGGCTCTTATATTCTAAATAATGCTAATTAATTCTTCCTCAGATTACTGAGCTTAGGGTTACCTTTTATGTTAATATGTTTTCGTGTTCACATACTTATGACTTTCTCTTTAGTTTCATGTGTACAACAAACCATAGTTGTGCCTTAATATGAAGAACTTACATTTTTATTTGAAAGCAGCCATTTATTTTTCAATATCAAACTGACTTTTTAAGGTTTTTTTTTTTTTCCCCAAAATGTAACAATAATTAAGTCAGCTTCTTTATCGTATGTGTGGGTTATTGAATTATGGTGTACTTTTTTGGTTCCTCCATTGCCCAGCATCTTCACGAATAGACTCTTTGTTTTCTATCTACTTGGTATGTTCCTAAAGGGTGAGTTAATTTTAGTGCGATTTTGTGAAAAAGAACAACATTTTTAAAAATCACCCAATCCAAGGAGAGATATAAATTGTTTTTGGGTTGTTTGTTCTGTTTTTTACCTGTTCTACTGGTATACTGAATTAACGGTAAATTTTGAGGTCTGTTGCTTTTGAGATAGAGTACTAGGTGACTTCATAAAATTAGTAATTCCCTTTCTCATGAGTTTTCTAAAGGCTTTTATATGTGTGATATTTTACAGCATTCTTTAAACCATTTCCATGTTACTAGTTATTTCTAATAGTGAAGGCTTTTTCTTTCTTTCTTTCTTTTTTTTTTTTTTTTTTGAGATAGCTCTGTTACCCAGGCTTGAGTGCAGTGGTGTGACCACAGCTCACAGCAACATTGACCTCCTGGACTCAGGTGATCCTCCCACCTCAGCCTGTAGTAGCTGGGACTATAGGCATGCCACCATGCCTGGCTAATTTTTGTAGAGATGGATTCAACATGTGGCCTAGGTTGGTCTTGAACTCCTGGACTCAAGTGACCCTCTTCCCTTAGCCTCCCAAAGTGTTGGCATTACAGCCATGAGCCACTGTGGCTGGCCATGGCCAAGTTTTTAAGTATTGGTTTATTCAAACAGAAGGTTCATAACATGGGTTATATAGCTAAAAAGAAGAATGTGGAGAATTTTGAAAGAGTTCACAAGAAACCAAGAAATGTTTGAAATGCGCTTTTAAGAGCAAACAAAACTCTTCAGAATTCCTTACTTTGGGTCTGAGAAATTACATGATACACTGTTGTTGGAGTCCAAATTTAATTGTAAAAAAATGAATTCCTTTTTCTAGTTTAGGCATTTTGATAGTAGTTTTAAGCTTTGGCACATAAAGTAATTGAAGTAGGGGTCCAAAGTGGCTCCCGCCAGAGGTCATGGCGCTCGCAAAGGCGAGGTCATCAGTTCAAGGCTAACCTGAGCAACCTCATAAAGCTCAAACTGATTGGCAAAAAAAAAAAAAAAAAGTAATTGAAGTAATATTGTTAGAAGACTTAGTGAAGTAGATATGATATACTTTGGATCTTGCAAAACAATACTAACTGGTAATAATGAACAAAATCTCAATTTAAATTTACAGTCTCAGATGATCATGTTGTTGTCAGTAGTCATTAAAATGAATTTATATTTTTTGATAAAGCATTTATATAATTATTTTATGTAATGTGTTTTTTATAAGGTCAAAAGAAATAGACTGGCAACCTTATTTTACTACACGCATTGTAGATGATTTTGGCACACACTTACGAGTATTCAGAAAGGCTCAACAGAAAATAACAGAGAAAGATGACCAAGCAAAAGGTAATATCTTTATTCTATTTGAAAACTAGGATTTAAAAATCTGTTTTTCTTTCATCATTTTACATATCTTGACTTGTTTCTTCAGGTACAGCAGAAGATCTTGTAGATACCTTCTTTGAAGTTGAAGTTGAAATGGAGAAGGAGGTTTGCCGTGATCTAGTGTGCACTTCTCCCAAAGATGAAGAAGGTTTTCTTTCAGTTTAACTTTTTTGATGATAGTAACTGGCTAGAGTCCAGTTAGCAGAACCAGTGAACAAATCTAAGGGTAAAATTATTCTTACTTAGGGCAGGTAGCTTTACTATTAATTTTATTTTTTAACTCTTAAAAGTAGTTTCCAAATTCTGTTTTCTTATTTAAAGGTCATCTTTCGGATTGCTTGAGCCCAGGAGTTCAAAACCAGCCTAGTAAACTTGGCAAACCCTGTCTCTACTAAAAGTACGAAACAGCTGGCTGTGGTGGTGCACACCTTTAGTCCCAACTACTGAGGAGGCTGACATGGGCGAATCACTGGATCCTAGGAAGTCAAGGCTGCAGTGAGCTGTGATCATACCACTGCTCTCCAGCCTGAGTGACAAGATAGAGACCCTGTCTAAAACTTAAAAAAAAAAAAAAAAAAAAAAAAAGATTACCAGTCTACTTTTAAAATATAGCAAACACAAACATTTTATAATTGAATTTTATAATTCGGTCGGTAGTAATTTCTCTTCCTCTTGAATTTATCATTTTTGCTACAGAAATATACCTGTTACCATAAACTAGTTCCTAAGGGAATGAATACAGTGATTTCAAACAATTTATAGATTTCAACAGGCTCCTCTTTTATTTGTAGGAATTTGGATAAGCTTTAGCTAAGGAAGGTATCTTTTCCCGGTTTTGCAAGTATTAAGTCTTTGTTAATTGGCACAGTTTTAAATTAACAGGATCAGTTATACAATTATATTCCCAGGAAGTGTCAGCGTAGGAACAACTATAGAGAAGCCATTCTAGTGGTAGAAATTGTTTTCTTAGATTTTGAGAATGTTTTAAGTGTTTTTATTTATTTTCTTAGTTTTTCCTTTCTTCTTTTTCCTTTTCTTTTTTTTTTTTTACCTTTATTGTATGATTCAGCTTTTAGTGCCCAGCTTTTTAGCACTGTTAAGAAATACAGTTGACTCTTGAATAGTGAGGTACTGACCCCTGTGCAGACAGAATTCTGTGCATAACTTTTGACTCTACAAAAACTTAAATACCAACAGCCCACTGTTAACTATAACCCTTATCAATAATGTAAACAATCGATTAATACAAAGACTGGTATCTACATATATTTTATGCATTTATGACCTGCGTTTTTCTTCATTTTTTTGATATTTCTAGGCTATGCCGTTCATCTTTGAGTTTTTTTAAAGTGTCACAAATCTCTAAAAAAATTTCCAATGTATTTATTTAAAAATATTCACATATAAGTGGACTCGAGCAGTTCAGCCTCTTTGTTCAAGGGTCAATTTGTATTATAGTAACTTAGAATGTAACACATAGATATACTGATGTGCAATACTTTTATGTAAGTGGAGCTCTGTTAAATCAGCAGAAGAGTATACTCTTTTTTTCCCTTGTTATAGCCTGCTGAGATAGTGGAGGCTTTTTCTTGAAAGAAGAGTTACAGCTATATTTTTTAATGTATGAATAACTTTTAAGTATGCAAAGCTAATTAATGTGTGGTAGAATTACAAACTACATGGTCTGTCTAAAACTATTTTGGGAAAAAAGATTTGTAAGGAAGTTTTTTATGATTCAAAAAACTTGCTAAAACAGCAGAATTTTAAAAAATACTGAGTTGATTAATAAAGAGTTATTACTTAGAGAACAGTGAAGGAATTTTTAATGAATACGGACATATACTAATTATAAAAATAATAAGCCAGTGTAACCAGTAAGCTACTTATTTCTACCTTTTTAATGTATCTTATCTATCAAGAGTAAGTGTAGACTTTATATTTTCTAATGTTATTATAGCTACTTTTTCTATTTTTAGGTTTCCTAAGAGATTTGTGTGAGGTCTTACTATATTTATTGCTACCTCCTGGAGATTTCCAGAACAAGATCATGCGATACTTTGTCAGGGTAAGCTTAAATTCATACCAAATCATGGCTGTACAAGAAACTTGGGAGCAGTGGTTTTCAAAATTTTGGGTCTTAAGATCCTGTTAGACTCTTAAAAATTATTGAAGACTTTAAGGAGCTTTTCTTTATGTAGGTTTTCTTTAAAACTATTTACATATTATAAGTGAAAAGAAATTTTTAAAACAGGAAAATATACAAGCACATATTTTATTAGCTGATAGATTGATACCATCATAGCATTATATCACTTTTGTAAAGGTCACTGTATGCATGTGAGAGAATGAGTGAAAAGTTAAATAATGTCTTAGCATTATTATGAAAATAGTGTTGAAAGGGTCAAAGGGAACCTGAAATGCAAGCTTCTGGGGGAACCTTAGGTTCTTGGAAGTCTCCCCCTACTCCTTCAGAAGTCTCTGGTTGATAGGTGCTTGGGTTTTTGGTTATGACAAAAGTGTGCTTTAAATTTTCTTATATCCTAGCATTATCTAAATTAGATTAGATACAAATAACATTTTTGGACAGAAACTTTAAAAACTATGCAGTTAAGATTATAGTTTTTGTAAATGAAAAATTAATGGCACTTTGGGAGGCCGAGGCAGGTGGATCACGGGGTCAAGAGATCGAGACCATCCTGGTCAACATGGTGAGACCCCGTCTCTACTAAAAATACAAAAAATTAGCTGGGCATGGTGGTGCGTGCCTAATCCCAGCTACTCGGGAGGCTGAGGCAGGAGAATTGCCTGAACCCAGGAGGTGGAGGTTGCGGTGAGCCGAGATCGCGCCATTGCACTCCAGCCTGGGTAACAAGAGCGAAACTCCGTCTCAAAAAAAAAAAAAAAATTAATGTCAGATGAGAATAGTAGTCTTAGACTCCTTGTTCCCTGAGTATAAACCTTTAGAGCAAAGCTGTGTATGTAAATATAAAGGAATAACATTTGGCTTTGGCTGCTAGTAATGATTTAGAAATGCTAGCTACTTAAGACCATATCCTGGTAAAATGGGTAATGTGAAAGTTTTGAATTTTCCTAAAAACAAAAGCTATGATCCCTTCAGTCTGTCCTGCAAAATAGATAACAATTCTTGAGAAATGCTTTTATTCTTGGATGATATTGTTTATAAGCAATACCATACAATTTCCTAACATCTACCTAGCTTGAGTTCAATGTACTTCTCAGGTATATTAGTGGTAATTTAGGTGAATTAGTAGAAAGTGCTTAGTTTTTATGGTAGATTAACTATATATCGTTAAGGCCAATTATTTGGGCTGGTTATTATCAAGGGTGGTAAGTACCCACCATGTCTATCACTAGGTTCATATCTGCCACTGAAGGAAGATATTACTAATCAGGTTTAGCACTTGTTCATGCAGAGTATCCGTTTGGTGTAATCTGTTTACGTAATACTCCAGCTGGCTACTGTTAGGGATCACATTATTTCACATATCTTGCCATCTTTTCATTCTTGAAACTCTATTATTCTCTTTTCTTTCATGTCACCGGTCTCATTTTTAGTTAGGGTTGTTCTCCTTTTTAGTCACATTTATACTTCTTAACTTCGCTTCTGCTTAAATTTTAAATATTCAAGGTCTTAAGTCCCAGGACTTTGTCTTGCTGTTCCATTCCTGTGGCCATAAACAGCTTCCAAATGCTAACTAGTTTCAGATTCATAGCTTTACTTCAGATTTACCTTCTGAGCTCCAGGCAACTCTGAGCTGCCTTCTTGAAATCACTACTTGTGATTTCAAGGGACTCACAGCTTTTTAAAACTTAAGTATCCAAAGTGGAAATCTTATTCATACCACCATATCCTGTCTACCTTTTAGTCTTCATCCTAGTGAGTGGTATGATCATGTAATAAATTTTTGAAAACTCAAGTTCTTCAAGAGGCTTACAGGGTCACATGTGGTGTGCCCTTATTGACCTCTCTAGCCTTCATGCCAAGCAATGTCAACGAAAACCAGAGCTTGACAGTGAAGTGTAGAACAAACAGACTATCCAGCAACTGTTGCAGTAGGGGAAATGTGACCTCAGTATAGAACCAAACTCAATTCTGAATACAAAAACAAGTTGGGATTTACAGCTCAGGAGTAGGCTGGAGATCAGTGGATGGAAAATTACTAAGATGAAACATCAGGTGTAAGGGGGAATTCTGGTTAAACAGACGTAATAGGGTTCTTGTTGAAAGCAGGCCAGGATGTTCAGACACAAAGGGTGGGGACTGAGGAATTTAATCATTTATAGCGAGTGAGGGAGTTCTGGCTAAACCCACTTGATAGAGTTCTTGCTAAAAGTGTGATGAATAAATGAATAGACATGGAAACCCAAAGGTTAAGGTATAAATGGTTAGAGGATTCAGAGGAGCCTATGTTTGGTCAAGGATACTCCAGCCACACTGGAGTTTCCCCCCACAAGTGCCATTTTCCTCCCTACCTGTCTGATGTGCTTTTTTCCTCTGTTAAGAATGATTCCTCTTACTCTGTCAGCTAAATTGTATTCATTCTTCATGTCTCACTTCATGTTACTTCCTTAGAGATGCCCTCCCTGACCACCCAGTCTAAAGCCCCTTTATAATTTCTGTTATTATAGATAGTATCCACTTGTTTTTCTTCATAGTGTTTACCATATTTTAAGATGGTAATTTGGTTGTTTTGTTTATTTATTCGATACCTCTTTCTTCAAGATTAATTGTAAGTCTAATGAGGACAGATACTATCTCTATGTTTATCGTAATTATATACTTAGTGCTTAACAATACCTGGCACATAGCAGGTGCTCAGTCAGTTTTAATGCAAAAGGAAATCCATTTACCCTCTTGCTGGCTGTGGTGTACATGCTACTATAGCTTCTTTTTTTTTTTTTTTTTTTTTGAGACGGAGTTTCATTCCTGTTGCCCAGGCTGGAGTGCAATGGCATGATCTTGGCTCACCGCAAGCTCTGAATCCCGCAAGTGATTCTCCTGCCTCAGCCTTCCGAGTAGCTGGAATTACAGGCATGCGCCACCACGCTGGGCTAATTTTTTATTTTCAGTACAGATGGGGTTTCTCCATGTTGGTCAGGCTGATTTCAACTCCTGACTTCAGGTGATCTGCCCGCCTCGGCCTCCGAAAGTGCTAGGATTACAGGTGTGAGTCACTGCACCCTGCCTTACTGCAGCTTCTTGAGGATTAAGTTGACTCTTTTTTTTTTTTTAAATACAGGGTTTCACCATGTTGGTCAGGCTGGTCTTGAACTCCCGACCTCAGGTAATACGCCTGCCTTGGCCTCCAAACACGCTCGGCTGAGGATTAAGTTGACTCTTAAGAGCCATGAATGGCAATCTGCCTTATTACATTGAGGTTATTAAAATAAGTAGGATTTTAATAAGCACATATTTCTTTTAACATATTCCTCTTTTAGGACAATATTTCATTTCATTTTGGTTGAATCTAATTGAGGATAATTGCAGACCATGCATTCAGTAAGTCAGTTTTTTTTCCTTTAGCTCTTTATTCTAAGATTCTAAAAAGATACTTTTGTTTCCATTAAATAACAGATGAAAGCGTTTTTCATTTTCCTTGTGTGGATACTTTGTATAGATTATCTTTGTATGGATACTTTGGATAGATTGTGTAAGTCACAGTACTTGACATAATTGCTGTTTATTGCCTCTACTTTCTTGCCACTACTATGTTTTATTCCTTTAAAGATATGGCTTCATTGACTTTGTATCTTTTAGGCCAGATGTGTGACAGAGGGTGCTGTCTTCTAAAAGTTGAGAGCTTAAATTAGGAATTTTGTGGAAGTGGCAACTTTCTTGGAATATGTAGAATTCTCACTAGGAGATTGAGTCATATGATTAGCCCTTGACTAAACCCTTTACTGCAGCAGATTAGAAGTTTTCTAATGCAAATCAACTAATTGCACCAACTAATAAGAAACACAAAATTTAATCAAAAAATTTCCCCAGATGTGTTTTCTTCTTTTGAAAAGAAACAGTGGAAAAACTGTGTGTGTGTGTGTGTGTGTGTGTATTTTCTCCTAACAATGTACATTTTAAAATTTGAACACATGGCTGGAGACTTAATTTGAATGAGGGAATTACATATATAAATACAGTTTTAAAGAAGTTAGAGACTAAAAGTAATCCTGAATTAAGCCATTTTTTTGTCATTTGGGACTGTAAAGTGTCTGCAAAGACATTTCAAAAAGTTACTGGCGCCCTTGTGCTTTTTGGAAATACTGATTCATCGTAGAGGTAATCGTTGGCAGGCTTGTACAGCTTTCAGAAGAGACTTGTACAGCTTACTGAAAATAAAGACCACCTTCTATGAACTTACACCAGAAAGTGGCCCAAATAAATTAAAGATCTGGGAAGAAAAAAATAAATTGATCCTTTACTTAGAAAAATAAAACATCCAAGAGAGATCCAAGATGGCTGATCGCTAACAGCTCGGGATTGTAGCTCCCAGTGAAAGTGCAGAGAATGAGAGGACGCCACACTTTCAAACAAATTTTTGTTGCTCACAGACCAGAAGATTCCCAGTGGAGGATCCCCACGGGTCGCCAGTGCGACTCTTGTGGCCAGTGCAGCGGTTTTGCCGCGCCTTGGTGCGGCAGCTCTTGGTGCAGAGTAAACGGGACTGGTTCCCTTTGTGACCGATGTTTGGAGCTCTGGGAAAGTAGAGTTGCCTATTACGGACTCAAGAAGGAAGCCAGACCAGAGATTTCCGGGCAGAAGTGCACCATCAGTCTTAATGCTGCTGTTTTGGCCAGCGCAGTGGGCTGCTCAGATTCCCGCGCTGGGAATCAATAAATTGGACATCCCCTTAGAAACCTAATTAGAAAGGCGGTAATTGTAAAGACGACAGATGGATAAATTTATAACGAAGGGAAGAAACCAGCCTAAAAAGGCTGAGAATACCCAAAATCAGAACGCCTCTCCCTCTACAGGGGTTTACAGTTCCTCATCAGCAATGGAACAAGGCCTGATGGAGAAGGACTGCATCCCATTAACAGAAGTAGGCTTCAGAAGGTGAATGAAAGAACTTGTTCTAACCCAATGTAAAGAAACTAAGAACTTTGAAAAAAGGTTTGACAAAATGCTAACAAGATTAGACAATATAGAGGGGAATATAAATGAATTAATGGAGTTGAAAAACACAACACGAGAACTTAGCGAAATATGCACAAGTTTTAGTAGCCGAATTGATCAAGCAGAAGAAGAAAGGATATCAGAGGTTGAAGACCAACTTAATGAAATAAAATGAGAAGACAAGAATAGAGAAAAAAGGATAAAAAGGAATCAGCAAAATCTCCAAGAAATATGGGACTATTTGTGAAAAGACCTGATTTACGTTTGATAGGTGTACCTGAATATGATGAAGAGAATGAATCCAAGCTGGAAAATACTCTTCAGGATATTATTCAGGAAAACTTTCCCCACTTAGCAAGGCAGGCCGATATTCCAGGAAATACAGAGAACACCACAAAGATATTCCTCAAGAAGAGCAACCCCAAGGCACATAATTGCTAGATTCACCAGGGTTAAAATGAAGGAGAAAATACTGAGGGCAGCCAGAGACAAAGGTCAGGTTATCCACAAAGGGAACCCTATCAGATGTACAGCAGATCTCTCAGCTGAAACCCTACAAGCCAGAAGAGAGTGGGGGCCAATATTCAACATCCTTAAAGAAAAGAACTTTCAGCCCAGAATTTCATATCCAACCTCTGAAGGAAAAAGAAAATCTTTTATGAATAGGCAAGTACTCAGAGATTTTATTAACACCAGGCTTGCTTTACAAGAGCTTCTGAAAGAAGCATTACACATAGAAAGGAACAACCAGTATTAGCCTTTCTAAAAGTATACCAAAAAGTAAAGAGCATCAACATAATGAAGAATTTACATCAACAAATGGACAAAACAGCCATTTAACATCAAATGGCAGTAATCCTAAATATAAATTGACTAAATCCTCCAGTCAAAAGATACAGCCAAAACCCAACGGTATGCTACATCCAGACCCATTTCACATGCAAGGATACACAAAGACTCAAAGGGATGGAGAAAGATTTACCAAGCAAATGGAGAGCAAAAATAAATAAATAAATAAAAAGGAGTTGCAGTTCTCTCATCTGATAAAATAGATTTTAAAGCAACAAAGATATAGTGGTAAAAGGATCAATGCAATATAAGAGCTAACGATCCTAACACCCAGATACATAAGATCTATAAAGAGACTTAGACTCCCTAGACTCCCACACAATAATAGTGGGAGACTTCAACATCAATATTAGATAGACCAACGAGACAGAAAATTAATAAGGATATCCAGGACTTGAACTCAGATCCGGAACAAGTAAACTTAATAAACATTCATAGAGCTCTCCACTTTAAATACACAAAATATACATTCTTGTCAGTACCACATCACACCTACTCATAGGTTTAAATGAAATATTGATCAGCCATTATTAAGCACAATTATTGGCATAAAAGAGGTTTTCAATACTCATTTTTAGAATAAAGCAACATTCCCATTCTCTCCCTCTTTTTCTTCCTCTTTCTTCCTCTTCTTCGCTCCTTTTTTTCTCTTTCCTTCTCTCCTTTCTTTAAAAAAAAAAAGAAAAGAAAAGAAAAAAGAAAAATGAAACATTCTGTTAAGCTTGTTGTTATTTAACCTCCCCAGTGTTCTTTGAAAAATTAGGTTTCATAAATTTATATGTTCCTGGCACTAGAGAATAAAGAATAACACCAGGTAAAAACATTGTATTTACAGAAACAGTACTAGATTTTTTGTTTGTTTGTTTTCTATTCATTTATCAAATGTCTGCTGTGTTTAAAACAGTGACCTTGAGAAGATGGGATGAGGAAGGTAAATATTTTTGAGGATAAATAATTCAATAGATAAGTTGACCAATTCCACTCATATAAAGGGTTCTAAGATACTTGCAGTGTATTAGAAAAATATAAGATAGCTGGGTGCAGTGGCTCATGCCTGTAATCTCAGGACTTTGGGAGGCTGATGCAGGCAGATCACAAGATCAGGAGTTCAAGACTACCCTGACCAACATGGGGAAACCCCATGTCTACTGAAAATACAAAAATTAGCTGGGCATGGTGATGCTTGCCTGTAATCCTAGCTACTCAGGAGGCTGAGGCAGGAGAACCACTTGAACCTGGGAGGCAGAGGTTGCAGTGAGCCAAGATCACAACAGTACACTCCAGGCTGGGCGACAGAGTGAGATTCCATCTCAAAAAAGAAAAATATAAGACATATAATTACAGAGAAAATATCAAGTGGTAAATGTTGTAGATACAGGGCATGAGTATTTCAAGCACGTTTCTGTTGGAATGATCAAGATTTATTTAATAGGATCATTGATTCTGCAGTCAGTTTTTAAAGGAAGGGCAGAATATTAATACATAGGAGCATAAACAACTGTGAAGAATGGGAAGGTATATTCTAGAACATGTTGAGTCACTTAACGTATCTATTATTTTAAAAATGTTTATTAGGAAAGTATTCAAACACAGAACAGCATAGAGAATAATACAGTAGACATTTATGTTACAACCACTTAGATTTAACCAGTGTTGATAATGTACTGTAGTTTTTCTGTTTCTTTGCTTGAAGTAACAATTGTAAAATCAGTGTATCATTTTCTTTTCTTTTCTGTTTCTATACTTTTAATAAAGATAAATGAATCCGTAAACATTTTTAGTCTCATACTTTTTCTTTTTAAAATTGACATCAATGCTAACATAACTAGAGCTATCATCGTTCTTTATTTCACTCCATAGTTGTTACTGTGGAGATGTGTCCAAGTTGATATAGGTAACTTTATCTCATTTATCTAGAATGAGGCATAGTAGTTCATTTTTTTTTTTAAGTAAGATTGTGTTGGTTATCAAGTTTTGTTTTCACATATATCATACTTAAGTAAGAGCATTGTGTTAGATTATTTATATTATGTTATTGATTTGAGAAATGCATTAAATTTTTAATTTTGTTTTTTCAGGAAATCCTTGCACGAGGAATTCTTCTTCCATTAATAAATCAACTCAGTGATCCTGATTATATTAATCAGTATGTCATATGGATGGTAAGTACATTTTAAAATTATAACTCTGTTCTAGAAATATATATATGTTCAAGCAGTTCTCCTGCCTCAGCCTCCGAGCAGCTGGGATTACAGGCACCTGCCACTGCACCCACCTAAGTTTTGTGTTTTTAATAGAGATGGGGCTTCACCATCTTGGCCAGGCTGGTCTTCAACTCCTGACCTCATGATCCACCCACCTCAGCCTCCCAAAGTGTTGAGATTACAGGTGTGAGCCACCACACCTGGCCAGAAATAATTACAGTTTGGAGATAAGGTGTTTAAGCAATAATTCATAAGAAATTAAGCAAAAATGTTTCTGAAATTAAGCAAAAGGAATTAAGCAAAAATGTTTCTGAAGTAATCTCTGCATTTCCAGTGTTTTATTTGCTTATATTTTGAAATTCTCTCTCTTTTTTTTTTGAGATGGAGTTTCACTCTTGTTACCCAGGCTGGAGTGCAATGGCGCGATCTCGGCTCAGGGTGACGTCCGCCTCCTGGGTTCAGGCAATTCTCCTGCCTCAGCCTCCCGAGTAGCTGGGATTACAGGCACGCGCCACCATGCCCAGCTAATTTTTTGTATTTTTAGTAGAGATGGGGTTTCACCATGTTGACCAGGATGGTCTCGATCTCTTGACCTCGTGATCCACCCCTCTAGGCCTCCCAAAGTGCTGGGATTACAGGCTTGAGCCACCGCGCCCGGCCCAAATTCTCTTTAAGAATTTTGTTGATTATCTTCTTTGCAGTTATGGTGCTACTACTATTTCTTTAAAAAAAAAATACAATATTTTAATACCTGGATGTATAAATGATGAGTATTTTTAATGGCTACTATTTCATTTTAAATACAACTTGGGGTTTGAACTACTTGACATTTAACTGACACTTTATACTGTATAATGGGGAATATATGGAGGACAGAACAGTAGAATGAGAATCAGAGAATCTGTGTTCTAGATGTTTCTGTAAGTTGCTTAGTGTCTGTAGTAGTTAACAGTTTTCTCCTGTCAGACATATCAACAAGTTAGTGATTACTAAGTTCACAAACCCTATATTTTTTCTTTATAACATATGCTTCTCCTTAATAAACTCATGGTCAAGGAAGAGTTGTAAATGGGCTGCCTGCTGGAAATTCTTTGATATCTACTTTTAGATCTTTGATTTATTTTCTTAAATATGGGATTTCTTCTCCACTTTTGTCTTCCTTTAACTCTGTCTAACTTTCTTAAGAAAGAATTACTTGTTCTTTGATTTATTTCCCTTAGGCATTGTCAGACTTGCTATTGTTTTATATTTTTCTTTATTTATTTTTGAAATGAAATCTCACTCTTTTACCCAGGCCAGAGCGCAGCAGTGCAGTCTTGGCTCACTGCAGCCTCTGCCTCCCTGGCTCAAGTGATCTTCCCACTTCAACCTCCCGAGTAGCTGGGACCACAGGTGTGCACCACCACATCCGGCTAATTTTTTGTACTCTTTGGTAGAGACAGGGTTTTGCTGTGTAGCCCTGACTGGTCATGAACTCCTACCTTAAGTAATCTGCCTGACTTGGCCTCCCAAAGTGCTGGGATTACATACAGGTGTGAGCCATTGTGCCTGGTTGCCCTTGTTTTATTATTGTTGCTGTTGCAAAGTTTGCCCTTTGACTAGACTCTGGTACCTGCAGACAAAATTGAGCTGTTAATTGTGTATTCCTAGAGCCTTTTCTGGAGACCATGGAACTTGATTCTTCTTTTTCTTTGTGAACTTTTTAAGAGTTTGTATTAGGCACTATAAGAGCTTTAAAAATATGTGTATGTGGACAATTAAAAATATAAAAAAATGATTCTCCTTTGGCTAGGAATTCAGCTCTAAGAAGTTATTCATAAGTGATAAAAAGCAAAATTGTGACTATATTTTTTAAAATTTTGTTTAACAAGTTTTTAATTTTTAAAAATTATGGATATGTAAGTGTTGTAAATATGGGTGTGTGATATTTTGATATAAGTGTACAATTTGTAATGTTCAAATCAGGATAATTGGCGTATCCATCACATCTAGCACTTAGCACTTCTTTGCTTAAGAACATTCCAATCCATTCCTTTAGGTATTTTGAAATGTGCAATAAAGTATTGTTAACTGTAGCCACCCTGTCATGCTACTGAATGGTAGATCTTACTCTTTCTGTGTTTTGTACCTATTAATCGTTCTTTCTTTATTTCCCTTCCCACCCTCTGGTAAAGAAACATTTGACACTCTGTCTCCATGAGTTCGGTCTTTTTTTTATTTTTAGTTCCCACATGTTTGGCCTACTGTGCATGGTTAATTCGACTTAACATTATATCCCCCAGTCAATATTTGATTCTTTTTCTTTTTGGCTGAATAATAATCTGTTTTGTGTTTGTACCCTGTATTCTTTATCCATTTCTTTATATACTTGCCAACATTTGTTATTGCTTCTCTTTTGGATAAAAGCCATTTTAACTAGAGTGAAATAAAATGTCATTGTAGTTTTACCATATTTCTATGATTATAAGTGCTGTTGAGCATTTTATAATAAACTGTTTGCCATTTATTTGTTGTCTTTTGAGAAATGTCTATTCGGATTTTTGCCCATTTTTAATGGACTTTTGTTTTTCCTATTGAGTTGTTTGAGCGCCTCATATATTCTGGTTATTATTTCTTTGTCAGATGGGTAGCTTGCAAATATTTTCTCCTATTCTGTGGATTGTGTCTTCACTTCGTTGATCATTTCCTTTGCCTTTTAGCTTGATGTGATCCCATTTGTACATTATTGCTTTGGTTATGTATGCTTTTGAGGTCTGATGTAAGAAATTTTTGCCCAGACCAATGTCATGAATTGTTTCTCTACTGTTTTCTTCTAGTAGTTTTATAGTTTCACATCTTAAAGTTTTTAATCCATTTTATTTTATTTTTTTATATGCTGAGAGATAGGGGTCCAGTTTCATTTTTCTGCATGTGGATATCTAGTTTTCTCAGCACCATTTATTAAAGTGACTGTCCCCCCACCCCCACCCCAGTTTGTATGTTTTGGCACATTTGTGAAAAATAAACTTACTTTGAATGTGTGGGTTTATTTCCGTCTTATCTATTCTGTTCCATTAGTTTATGTGTCTTTTTTATGCCACTACCCTCTGTTACGGTAACTATAGCTCTGTAGTATAATTTGAAGTCAGATAATGTGATGTCTTCAGCTTTGTTCTTTTTTGCTTAGGATTGCTTTGGCTCTTCTGGGTCTTTTGTGGTTCCACATATAAATACATTTTGGGATTATTTTTTTCTATTTCTATGAAGAAAGTTATTGGTATTTTGATATGTAGGTTGCTTTGAATTTGCAGATAGCTTTTTGTAATATGGACATTTTAGCAATATTAATTCTTCCAATCCCTGAACCTGGAGCATCTTTTCATTTCTTGTGTCTTCAATTTCTTTTATCTGTGTTTTACAGTTTTCCTTGTAGACATCTTTTACTTCATTGGTTAAGTTTATTCTGTTATTTTGTTTTTTCTATTTGTAGCTATTTTAAATGAGATTACTTTCTTGTTTCCTTTTTCAGATTACTCAATGTTGTCTTTTAGAAAATGCTATTGAATTTTGTATGTTGGTTTTGTATTTTGCAGCTTTACTAAATTTATCAGTTATTTTTTGTTGACTTGTCTTTTAGTCACCTTACCAAAGATATGAGTGGTCTGTATACCACAATTACAGTGTTATTCTCTGTTTGTCTGTGTGCTTAGTATTATCAATGAGTTTTATACCTTTAGGTGATTTTTATTGCTCATTAACATGCTTTTCTTTCAGATTGAAAAACTCCCTTTAGCATTTCTAGTAAAACTGGTCTACTATTGAAGAAATCCCTTAGCTTTTATTTGTCTGGCCAAGACTTTATTTCTCCTTAAGGGTTGACAAATAAATTTGGAGGATATGATATTTTAGGTTGGAAGACATTTTTTTCCTTTAGCATTTAGAATATATTGAATGATCCTACTCCTTCCTGGCCTGTAAGGTTTATGCTTAGATGTTTACTGCCAGATGTATCAGAGCTCCTTTATATGTTATTTGCTGCTGCTGTTTCTTTTTTTTGGGGGCAGACTTTAGGATTCTTTATTTATCCTTGACCTTTGAGAGTTTAATTCTTACATGCTTTTGGTGGTCTCATTTCAATTTTCTTCGTGTTTTTTGACCGTCTTGTACTTGGATATTCATATCTTTTTCTGGGTTTGTAAAGTTCTTTGTTATTATTTCTTTGAATAAACTTTTAACCTGGTCTCTTTCTTTACATCCTCATTAAGGCCAATAAATCATAGATTTGCCCTTATGACACTGTTTTCTAGATCTTGTTTTCTAGGGCATGCTTAATTTTTTTTCAGATTCTTTTTTCTCTGTGTATTTTTGTATATCGTGCCTTAGCTTAGTTCTTCCTTCTGTTGGACCAATGCTGCTGTTAAGATACTCTGATAAATTTTTCAGTTTGTCAGTTGAATTTTTCAATTCTGGAGTTGGTTTGATTTTCCCCTATTATTTCAGTCTCTGTTAAATTTCTCAGTAGAATTCTGAATTCCTTCTCCGTGTTATCTTGAAGTTCTTCGAGCTTCCTCAAAACAGCTCTTTTGTATTTCTTGTCTAAAAGGTCACATATCTCCTTTACTTCTAGAGTGGTCACTGGTGTCTTATTTAGTTTTTTGAGGTCATGTTTTTCTGGATGTTCTTGGTGCTTGTGCTTGTGGACGTTCATCAGTGTCTGGGCATTGATGAGTTAACTTTTTATTTTAATCTTCTCAATCCGGGCATATTTGTACCATCCTTCATGAGAGGGCTTTTCATGAAGTCAAAGGGGATTGAAAGTTATAACCTAAGCCTGTGGTCACTATGGCTATTTCAGCAGTAGTGGGATCCCTAAGCCCAGGAATACTGTGACTCTTGGAGACTCCTACTTCCACCTTTTGGCTTCTGTGAATACTACAATCATGATTACACAAATATCCCTTTATGATCTTGTTTTCAATTCTTTTGTGCACTATTGGTGGAATGTAAAATGGTGCAGATACTTTGGAAAACAGTTTGGGGGTTCTTCTGAAAATTGTTACTGTATGATCTAGCAATCTCACAACTAGGTCTGTATCCAAAAGAGTTGTGTGATCTTTTATCCTTTACCACTAATACTTTCTCTGTATCACCCATAAGTGTTCTTCACATTTATCATTTATCTGTTCACTGGAGCAGCACTGTTAATTTCCCTGAAGAAAGTTTTCTGTTTTTTTTTCATTCTCTTATTGGATAATTGTTTACTGCAGGGGATCAAGCTTTCAGTCTGTCTTGGCCTTTGACTCGTTTTCCTGGCTAAGCTTATTCATTTCTAGGTTTGATTGAAAGTGAAAGACGTGGATCTTCCTTGGGCTTGAACACTTAGAATCCATTGTAGGGCTATTCATTGGTCTACTTTCAATATTGTGTCTCAGTTAATAGGGAGGATCTACCTGAGGGAGAGAGACAGGAATGGTCAGTTGTTGAAACAGTTAGAATACACAAAACAATTTATCAATTAATTTTGTCATCTTAAATGAGTATGGTTTAGTGTACTAAAACAATAATAATATCTATGATCGGTGATCACCATAGTACATGTAATAATAATGAAAAAGTCTGAAATATTCTGAAAATTTAAAAAATGTCATTATGCACATGACATGAGCATATGTTGGAAGAATTATGCTGATAAGGGTTTCTAGACACAGAGTTGCCACAAACCTTCAGTTTGTTAAAAACACAGTGTGAAGTGTCACAATAAAGCACAGTGGAATTGAAACAAGGTATTCCTGTATTCTATTTATTTTAATGACTTTCCAGAAATTCCTTATTACTATTACCATTATTTTAGTGGTTGCTCTAGGAATTAGTGTCCTCTTTAAGCTGTCATCATATGTCTAGAGGCAGTATTTTATCACCTCACATGAAATATGAAAAACCTTGCTATAGCATAATTTTAATTAACCCCCATCCTTCATTCTTTTTCATGGCATATTTTACATCTATATCCATAATTTATTCCAGAGTGCTGTATTAATTTTTGCATTAAACACCTTTTTTTAATGAAATAAAGATTAGAAAAACCTTTTACACCCATACATTTATTCAGTATTTTCAGTATTCTTCATTATTTTTTGTTGGTACAAATTTTAGTTTTGTTGTCATTTTTCTTCATTTGAAGAACTTTCTTTAGGATTCTGTGTATTGCCAATTTTCTTGTGACAGATTCTCTGAGCTTTCTATTCTCTGAAAATATTTTTATTTACTGCAAAGTTTGGGGGATATTTCATTGATGTAGAATTGCTGTAGACTTTTTTTTCCTTTCAGTACTTTAAAAATTGTTTTATTTTCTTCTTGCCTTTATTATTTCTAGTTAGAAGTCAGTTTTCACTGTATAATTTATCCCTTCAATGTAATGCATCTTTTTACATAGTCCTATACTTTTTTTTTTTTTTTTTTGAGAAAGAGTTTTGCTCTTGTTACCCAGGCTGGAGTGCAATGGCGTGATCTCGGCTCACTGCAATGTCCGCCTCCTGGGTTTAGGCAATTCTCCTGCCTCAGCCTCCTGAGGGGATTACAAGCACACGCCACTGTGCCCAGCTAATTTTTTGTATTTTTTAGTAGAGATGGGGTTTCACCATGTAGACCAGGATGGTCTTGATCTCTCGACCTCGTGATCCACCCGCCTTGGCCTCCTGAAGTGCTTTTTGTTGAAAATAGATAGCATCCTAAGTTGATTACCTTTTCACAGCCCACTCTTCCTGCTTTGCTTAGTTTAAATTTTATTTACAGTTATCATTATCAATCCCTCCACAACATACGGTACTTCCTTACCTCTTTCACTTTATTAGCTTGTTGATACCACAGCACTGGTTAAATCCAACATAACTGCCTACCCCATTCCTGTCTTTAAGCAGGTCAATGTGGCTGATGAAAAAAGAGAAACTTACACTAATCTCATTTGAAATTCATGAGCACTAATCTCATTTGTGCCCTTACTCATGCCTTGAAATCATTAAATTTTTCCTGTTATGTGCCCCACCCTGACCAACTCTTTTATACTTCCTTAACTTTCAATTAACATACTTTTTTTGACATCTGTTCTCTTAGCTCGACCTTAGTACTCCACTGGAAGAATTGAGAGAATCAAAAGAGATGTTTCATAATGTCCTATTGTCACATACATTCATATCTTGTATTTATGCATGTATATTTCACATTTTCTTCTGTTACTGTGGATAAAATATCCATGTATCTAGCTAAAACAACTCCTTTACTTGTGCACTGTAACCAACTCCTTCTAGACAATTTCATTTTATTGCTTTGACAATTTTATATTCTCTCTGTATAATCAAATTTTCACTCTTTATATGATCATTCCTATTATCGTACACCTTTGTCATTATCTCTCTCATCTTAAAAAGATGAAACAAGTCATTAATCTTACATTCCATTTTAAGCAGCTCTCTTTTCTCCTGTTATTTCTTTACAGCAAAACCTTTTTTTTTTTTAACTGTCGGCTGTCTACATTTTCTCTTTTTCTTTCTTGAACTTCTCCAATAAACTTTTCTATGTCAAAGAGAATAATCCTGATTGTCATGGTCAGTTCTTAGATTCCTTATTTTTGTTTTGTACCCATATGAAATGCTTGACACAGTTTATCCTTTCCTTTTCCTCTTCTTTTTTCTTTTCAACTAAGTCTCTGATACCAAAGCTGGAGTGCAGTGGCACGATCTCAGCTCATTGCAACATCTACCTCCTGGGCTCAAGCAATTATCCCACCGCAGCCTCCCAAGTAGCTGGGATTCCAGGCACCCACCACGATGCGCAGCTAAGTTTTGTATTTTTAGTAGAGACGGGGTTTCACTGTGTTGGCCAGGCTTGTCTCGAACTCCTGACTTGAGGTGATCCTCCTGCCTTGGCCTCCCAAAGTCCTGGGATTACTGCACCACACCAAGCCTTCACACTTCTTTACTTGGCTTGTTAGCACACCAAAGTTTGTTGTTGCTTTTTTTCCTACGTTTTTGGCCTTTCTCAGTCTTTTTGCTGTGTAAGTCTTCTGAGTATCTGTTCTTAGATCTCTTCTCTTTTCATTCTCCTCCATTTTCATGATTTTAAGTGTCATCTACATGTCAGTGACTTTGAAATTCATATTTTTGCATAATCCTTCTTTCTGAACTCTTGTCTATCATATTCAAAAGTTTACTAATGGCATTTTTATATTTAATGGGATCTCACACTTGATTTTGCTTCCCCACTCCTCTGGCAAATGTGGCATCTCTTTATTTTTTTCTCTGTCTTGTTTAGTGGTAAATCCACTGTTGCAGTTGTCAGGCTAACAATGTTGGTGTAGTTCTTTTTTTTTTTTCAGACAGAATCTTACTCTGTCTCCAGGCGCCAGGCTGGAGTGCAGTGGTGTGATCTCGGCTCACTGCAACCTCCGTCTCCCGTGTTCAAGCAATTCTTCTGACTCAGTCTCCTGAGTAGCTGGGACTACAGGTGCATGTACCACACCCAGCTAATTTTTGTATTTTTTTTAGTAGAGACGGAGTTTCACCATGTTGGTCAGGATGGTCTTGATCTCTTGACCTCGTGATCTCCCTGCCTTGGCCTCCCAAAGTGCTGGGATTACAGGCTTGAGCCACCACGCCCAGCCATGTTGGTGTAATTCTATGTTATTCTCTCTTATTTCATGGCCACATCTGATTTATCAGCAAATTCTTTTGGCATTGTCTTTACAAAACACTTTTAACCAGAAAACACTTTATAAAATACTTTGTATCATGCCACCACTGTCACCACCCTGCTCCCTGAGTATGTTATCTTTTACTTGTATTATTAACTGGTCCTTTTTTCTGATTTTGGTCTGCCTTTATTCTATTTTTATACAGCAGCACAGTGAATGTGTTGTATTTTAGGTTAGAGAGTGTTACACTTTTTCTTAAACCTTCCAGTATAACTTTTGATTTTCTTCAGTGTGAAAGCTAAAACCTTTATACTGTAACAGAAGATTTGCCCTCCATTGCTGCTGACCGTATCTTCTGCTCATCTGGTCTTTCGTTTAGTAGTCATTATGGGTTTCTTGCTATCATCAGATATTGTGAGCATGTTCCTATTCCTGTACTTTCAAGTATGCTGTATTATACTTACTTTATTTTGTTTGCAGTCTAAGTCACATTGGAATATAAGAACCCAAATACAGAGTTTTTTTCTTTTCGTTGTAAGCACTGAGTATGTAGCAAATTGTCCTGGCACATAGTAGGCACTTACGATTCAGTTTTCCTTTTAATAAGTGAGTTCTCCATTTTTTTCTTGTTAAACTTGTTTTCAGATCCGTGATTCTAATTGCAACTATGAGGCCTTTATGAACATTATTAAATTGAGTGACAATATTGGAGAGCTAGAGGCAGTCAGAGATAAGGCAGTAGAAGAATTACAGTATCTTAGATCTCTAGATACAGCTGGTGATGGTAAGTAATGTATTTAATTTAAAATATATTTTTTTGAAGGATTATTGCATCTTCAAAACTTTGGTTAATTTATCTAAATGTCATTTTCTGCTGTTAGTTGTTTTCACCTTAATTAAATCTTCCTTATGATGTTAACCTGTGCTTAGAGTAAAAGCATTATTTTCAGAATGAGAGAATGTGATTATTGTGATTATCCCTAAAGTGAAGGTAATTGGCATGGTTCACTTTCAATTAAATAATTTCACTGTATAATTTCTGATGGTTTATTTTATTGAATAAAGCAATTACCTTATTGTTAACTGATTATTTTATTAAATTACAGTAAGTGCATGTTTAAAGTATTTGACAATTAATGTTACCACTTTCTAGTTCTTGATTTATTTGCTTTTAGATATCAACACTATCAAAAATCAAATAAATAGCTTACTGTTTGTAAAGAAAGTATGTGACTCAAGAATACAGCGATTGCAGTCAGGCAAAGTAAGTAAAGTACTTTTGAATTAATGTTTAGTTATAAATACTTTATAGGGATTAAAATGCATAGTCAAGGACAAAATGTAGGACATTTACCAGTGCAGCACTTTACAAGAGGACTTTGAAAAGAGTTCTCTCTTCTACAGTGTGGTAGAAGGTTAATTAAAACGCTGCCTGAAAAATGTTAAAGTAATTGAAGATTTTATTTTATTCCTTGATTTATGTATTTACTTATGTATCATTTGTTTATTCAGAATTTACATTTATTCAATTTTTCGAGTTGGGCATTTTATAGAAGAGCCAAGTAGATGAACTCTTTTCATGGAGCTTACATTTTAGTTGCAATGTCAGGAAATAAACCAATAAGCAAATTGATGCATAATATCAGGTGGTGATACCTACTACAAAAAACAGTAATAAAGCAAAGTAGGGTATAAAGAATGTCTTGGACTGTTTTAGATGACTGCTGAGATGTTTGATGACACTTAAATATAGGGAGACCTAATAACATGAGGCAGTTAGTCCTGTGATGTATTTTTGTTTGCCTTTGAAGTTTCTTACAAGTAGTCATGAGAGCAAATTCTGGGGCCCTAAGGTAAGAATGTCTTTGGCGAGTTGGAGGAGGTCATTGTGAATTGTATAGGATGAATGAGCTGTTGTGCTAGGAATGAAGTCATAGAAGAAAGAGGGGGAGGTTATATCTTTATATGGTCATCTGTGTTCTTACTGGCCATAGTAAGAGTTTTATTTTATTCTAATTGTGATGAAAATCAATTGGAGATTTGCCCTGGCAAGTGACATTACCTGACTTATCAGTTAAAATTTAAAATTATTACCTTTACTCTTTGTGAAGAACAGACACAAAGGATGAGTTGATGGGGGTAAGAATGGAAACCCAGAGATTATTTTCAGTACTCCTGATTTAAACTAGGTGAGCGATGTCTATGGAGGTTGTGAGAAGCTATTATAGAGACTGGATATAGTGCTAATAGGATTTTCGGAGGTTGTGAGAAGCTATTATAGAGACTGGATATAGTGCTAATAGGATTTTCTTAATGGACTGAATATAGACTGAGAAAAAAAATAACTCAAAGATAATTTCAGGGTATTTTGATTTGAGCAACTGTATAAATAGTGGTTCTCTTTACTGAATTAGGTAACACTGAGAGTGGAGAGGTTTGGAAAAGAGAATTGAATTTTGGATATTTTAATTTGAGATCCTTGTTTGACATTCAAGTAGACATGATAATTAGTAATCTTGATTTCTAAGGAAAAGTAGTGATGGAGATAAATTTTGTAAATCCTCAGAATTATCAGATGTTTACTTAATGTTGAGAGAGACTGGATGGAGTTAAAAGAGTATGTGTAAGTAGGAATGTAACAGTGACTTGGTCCTAGTACACTTCAATGAATAGAGTTAAGACAAAGTAAACAGTCTAGCCAAAGAAACAGAGTAAATAGCCAGCAATATTGGTGGGAAACCTGAGCATGTGCCCTGACTCCTTCTCAGGGCTCCTGATAGGGGTGCCTCATTTACCTAGCCTGCCACTCTCAACTCTTTGTGAGGGGGAGCGCACAAGCGAATGAGTGGGAACTTGAGTGAATGAGTGCTGGAACCAGCCTGCCACTTAAGCACTGGTGGGATCAAACTCTACTCGGACCCTCTACATATCACCCCTCGAGGAAGGGAGAGCATAGGTGAGTGGGTGCAGGAACTGGCCAGACACTTTAGCGCTGGCAGGAGCAAACTCTGTTCATGCCACATAGCAGTCCAGTCAGGGATGTCTGTGACTCCCAAAGCCTCAGAGGATGTGTTACCGTGCTCTTTAGCTCTGCCATCTGTGGATGGCTTAAGGGTTAACAGCCCAGTGGGTCCTTTGCCTTTTTGCATGAGGCGGCTGCCCTCCACCAGTGAGGGCAAAGGGCCAGTGTGACAGCCTTTTGTGTCCATACTCATGGCTTCTGAGCTCTTATTCAGCATCCAGGAAAAATGAGGTAACATGAATGAATTGAAAGATTGTAAATCCAGGGGATTTTTATTGCCAATTAAAGTGGCTCTCAGTGGGAAGGGATGCTGAAAAGGGGAATGGGGCACATAGATAGTCTTCCCCTGAAGTCCGGCTGTCTCCAGTTGGATTCTTCTCTGAAGTTACTGCTATCAAGCTATTACTCTGAAGTCAAGCCACTTCTCTCCAACGTTCAGCCTCAGTCCTGGCTACTGGCTGAGTCAGGGGTTTTTATAGGCACAGGATGGGGTGAGGTGGGGCATGTGTGGTTTAGGCAAAGGCAACATTTGAGCGAGAAAACAGAGATACAAGTTCTCACTTAGGTCCACTGTCTCAGGGTTTTTGGCTTGAGGGTAGTGTTAGTCCAGGACTACTCTTTTCTGCCTAGAATTTCTCTGCCCCTTGTCCCTGTCAATATCTCAAAAGCCAAGTGTAAAAAGTGTTTATAAAAGGAAAAGATGAGGTGTATCAAAGAAAAACATTGAGAAAGATGAGGACTGAGGATTTTCCATTGGACTTACTACCCTGGGGATTACTGGTGATCCGATGAGAACATTTTTGTGGAGTAGTGGAGAAAAATCTTAATTGGAGTTCATCCAAGAGAGAATGGGAAAAGATAAATTAGAAACAGTAATGATAGTTGCTCTGTAGAGATGTTTTACCCCAAAGGAAAACAGAGTCTTGGGGCTTTAAAGCAGGAAAAAGCATTTATTTCTTAATACCCTTAGATTTCTAGTGTATTCACCTTTTCTGCTGTAGTTTTCTGTTTTGAAAATTTATTTATGACTGTGGTCTTATAATTTTACAGTGTATTTAAATTCCTTAAGGAACAGAAGAATTATTTTTAAAAACCTTAAATTTAGTTTGCTAGATGAATTATAACTTATGAAACATTACTTGAGGCCCACATTTGTTATACATGTGTGTGTGTGTGTGTGTGTGTGTGTGTGTGTGTGTGTACTTTTGGTTAACTTTATTTTAAAACTTGTTATATACTCAAGCAAGTTAGAACAGAAGAAAGATACGGTTTCACTTGTGCTTCTCTTTACTTCCTTATCTAGATATCAGAGTTAGTGACCTTTCAGCATTGTTACTCAGTGTATTTGCCCAGGCACTTTTTGATATAGGATCCTTTTAAAATTTAGGTATTTTGTTTGCAAGCCTGTCAATTCCATTTTGAATACAAACTTTATTTTTTAATGAGTTCAGATCATACACTGTTTTCCTTTTTTAAGTAACCTCAGAATCCCCATGGACTTGCAGTTTATACCCATGTTACTTATCTTGAAATCTTAGAAACCTTTATTCTTTCATATTACAAATAAAGTTACAGTGAGTTTTCTTTCCCATCCCGTATCTATGGAGCCACTGCTGGACAGGAGAAAGAGGTGATAGAATTTGTAGAAGGGAGACTTAGTAGAAATCATGTGCTGGCTCTAGATTGTGCTCTACCAGACATTTAAAGTGAGTTAGCTGTTACTGTCCAGTGCTTATATGAAGGAAAATACAAATTACAGAGATAAATTTGGTTTTTGTTGTTTTGTCTCTTTAAAAAATTCTCTTCATTTTTCATTTACCACCTGTGCTTAATTTAGTATCTGCCTCTGAATATGGCAACCTATTTCATTTACAGTAAGCCTGTCCATCTTTCTTTTTTAAATAGAGGGTTCTGAACTGTGGATTTGGGAATATAGAGAAGCCAGTGAAGATAAATAGTTCATAAAAACAGCATGGCTTTTATAGGAAAGGGAAGGCAGCATTTGAAAACACATAGTCGTACTTACCAGCTTTGTGACTTATATGCAACCTTTTTGATCTTTGTTTTCCCTATCTGTTAAGTAGACTTGGTGATACATATCCAGCAGGATTGCTCTGCACATTAAATGAAGTTATATGTGTAGTGTATCTGGCACAATGCCTGACACAAAGATGCTCTTTAAATTTTCAACCCAATAGTTTCCTTCTGTTTTTTCATATGTAGATTGTTTCCTTGCTCTATGACTTTGAAAAGTATGTCTGAAATTCACTGTTTAGAGAGTCTGGAAAAGAAACCATTTCCTCTAATAATTAGAGTTTTTACTGAGTTAGGAGCAAAATTTCTCTTTAGGCAGATTTTGTTTTCCCAGTAATAAATAGACTTTATACATGAAAATGTGGAGTTTTTAAAAATCTTGCATATAGTAAACATTTAAAACATTTGCTTTACCCTATTAGCTTCTGGAATGTTCATTTGGAATAAATAGAGATAGAAAATAATGGAAAATATAGTGATTTCTATTTATTTTATATTGAAATAAATGAATGCTAATATTTTTAATGTGTTAATATTTTTAATTTGCTAAGCAACTCTTAACTAGGAATTTAAATTCACAGAATGCATATTTTTTTTGGGAAATAACATGCATGAGAAGGGAAAAACTTCATCTTTACTCCATTGTGGCTTAATTTTTTTTCCTTATATTTATATAACATCTTTAACAATGAATGATTAGATAAGACATTAACTTATATTCACTTTTGCCTTTAGGAAATAAATACTGTGAAACTTGCAGCAAACTTTGGGAAACTGTGCACGGTCCCTCTGGACAGCATTCTTGTAGACAATGTTGCACTACAATTTTTTATGGGTAGGTAAATCAACTCTATTTAAATGATATAGCCATTGAATATTTTTATGTCGTAAAATAAACATAAAATTTAGTATCTCAACCATTTTTAGGTGTATTAGTTCAGTGATATTAAATGTATTCATAATGTTGTACAGACATTACAACCATTTATCTCCAGAACTATTTTTATCTTGCAAAACTGAAACTCTCCATTCCCCACACCCTCAAACCCTGCAACCATCATTCTGCTTTCTGTCTCTCTGATTTTGACTTCTCATAAGTACCTCACATAAGTGGGATTGTACAGTATTTGCTTTTTTGTGACTGCCTTATTCACTTAACATAGATATGCCCTCAGGTTTTATTCATGTTATAGCAAATGTGAGAATTAACTTTGTTTTTTTAATGCTGAATAATATTCGTTTGTGTGTGTGTGTTTGTAAGTGTTGACATGTGCGCACATGCGCTTCTCCCCTTCCCTTTTCTCCCCCACTCTCCACTTTTCCTAGTTGCTCTGCCTAGTACTTCCAGTACTGCATTGAACAGAAGTGGCAAAAAAGCTGACATCTTTGTCTTGTTCCTTATCTTAAAGAAAATTATTCTGTCTTTCACCATTGAGTATAATATTCACTGTGGGCTTTTTCATATGTAGCTTTTATAATTTTCAGGTGGTATCCTTCTGTTCCTACTTTATTGAGTGTTTTTGTCACAAAAGTGTGTTGAATCTTTTGAAATGCTTTTTGTGCATCAATTAAGATATGTGGTGTTTATCCTTCTGTTGTGCTGGATTACATTGATTGTTGTTGTTTTTGTCTGTTCAGCCATCTTTGGATTCCTGGATTAGATGCTGCCTTAGTTATGGTGTATAATCCTTTTAATATGCTGCTGAATTTGTTTTGCTGGTATTTTATGGAGGATTTTTATATCAATTTTTATAAGGAACATTGGTCTGTAGTTTTCTTTGACCATCTTTATCTGGCTCTGCTTTCAGGATAATGCTGGCCCCGTAGAATGAGTTAGGAAGTGTTTCCGTGTAATTTTTTGGAAAAATTTAAAAAGGATTGCTATTATTTTAAATGTTTGATAGAATTCACTAGTAAAGCTATTCAGGTCCAGGTCTTTTCTTTCTTGAGGATATTTGATTACTGATTCAGTTTCCTTACTACCTATCAGTCTCCTCAGATTTTCAGTTTCTTCATAATTTAGTCTTGGTAGAATTTCTGTTTCTAGGAAGAAAAATCTTGGTAGATTTTTCCATTTCCACTAGGATATCCGATTTATTGGCATACAGTTGTTTATAATACTCATAGTACTTTTAGCGTCATAAGTAATAGCCTCACTTTCACTTCTGATTTTAGTAATTTGACTCTTTTCTCTTTTCGTCCTCCTAGATAAGTCTTTGCCAATTTTGTCACTCTTTTCAAAGAATCAACTGTTGCTTTCACTGACTTTGCTATTGTGTTCCTGTTCTCTTTTTTGTTTATCTCTGCTCTAATCTTTATTATTTCTTTCCTTCTGCTAGTTTTGGGTTTAGTTTATTCTTTTTCTATTTCCTTATGTCGTAAAGATCTCTAACTTTATGACATAAGGAAAGATGATTTGAGATCTTCCTTTTTGCTCTGTCCCATGAGTTTGGTATGTTATGTTTGTTTTCATATTTTATGATTTCTCTTGTGATTTCTTCTTTGATCAGTTGGTTGTGTGTGTTGTTTTAATGTTTTCAAAGGGTAAGTAGGGTAAATAAAAAGTGTGTTGATTTCCAAAAATATTTGAGTTTTCCAGTTTTTATCCCTTTATAGTCGAGAAGATACTTTGCTTGATACTCATATTTGAAAACTTTATGAAACTCAGTTTGTGGCCCATTGTATGGTCTGTTTTAGAAAATGTTCCATGTGTACTTGAGAAGAAGCTGTATGTTGTTGTTGGGAAGTGTTCTGTATGTTTGTAAATCTACTTGATACGTTGTGTTAAGTTCTCTATTTCCATACTTCTGTCTGGTTCTATTCGTTAGTGAGAGTAGAGCATTGAAGTCTCCAACTATTATTGTGGAACTGTCTCTTTCTCCCTTAATATCTGTCAGTTTTTGCTACATATATTTTAGTGATCTGTTACTAGGTATGTAAATGTTTATAATTGTTGAATCATTTTTCTATGTTGAATCTTTTATTAATATTTAATGACCTTATTTATATCTTAATCTTTTTTGATTTCAAATCTATTTTGCCTGATACTAGTATAGCCCTCCCTGCTCTATTTTGGTTATTTTTCGCATGTGATGTGATTTTTCATCCTTTCACTTTCAGTCTATTTATGTCTTTGTATCTAAAATCTTTGTAGATAGCATATCACTGTATTGATTTTTTAATCCACTTTACCGGCCTGTCTTTTCATTAAAAAGTTTAATTAACTTACATTTAAAGTAATTATTAATAAGGAAAGACTTCTGTCATTTTGTTATTTGTTTTCTACATGCTTTATATCTTTTTTGTTAAGTCATTTTCTACATAACTGACTTCTTTTGTATTCAGTTGATTTTTTTTTTTGTAGTGACATGATTAAATTTTTTTCCCATTCCTCTTATGTATATTATGTAGCTGTTTTCTTTGTGGCTTCTATGGGGATTACATGTAACATCCTAAATTTATGACACTGTAATTTGAAATTATGTCAGCTTAATTTCAGATGCATTCAAAACTTTATTCTTTACAGCTCTGTCCACATGCCTTTTTCTGATGATGTCACAAAACTGAGTCTTTACAAATTATATGTTCAAAATATGGGCTAATAATTCTTTTAAATGAGTTACTTTTGTAACTTATATAGAAACCAGGATGTATAGTTCAAAGTACAGTATTCCTGGCTTTCAGACTGATAGTTGATTTTTAAAAAATTGTCTCAAATCACATAAAAAACAGAAAAATAGAGTTCCCAATCATTGTTAAAATAATACCAGCTTTTATAATTGCCCATATGTTTATTTTTGCTGAGGTGTTTATTTCTTTATATGGTTTCAAGGTACTAAGTTAATATCTAGTGTCCTTTAATTTAATTTACTCTTATTTTGCAAGGCAGGTCTTATGGTAATATGCTTCCTTTGCTTTTGTTTATCTGGGAATGTCTTATTTCACTTTCATTGTGAAGTACAGCTTTGCCAGATATAGGAACTTGGTTGACAATATTTTTCTTTCAGCGCTTTGAATATCACTCCATCACCTCTGGCCTCCATAGTTTCTTGAAAGAAATCTGATAATCTTTTGTATTTTTCTGTATATGTTGTTTTTCTCTTTCTGCTTTCGGATGTGTGTCTCCATGTCGGTATCTTTGAATTCATCTTACTTGGAGATTGTTGAGCTTTTTCGATGTTTATACTCATGCCTTTCTTCATATTTGGGAAAATTTCAGTCATTTTTTCAAATATGATCTGCCTGTTTCTCTCATTTTTCTCCTTGTAGAACTTGTACATGTAACTTGGTCCAGCAGGTTCCTTGGACTTTGTTTACTCTTTTTCATATTTTTTCATTCTGTTTCTCGGACCCTACAAATTTTATGATTCTGTTTTTACATTTGCTGATTCCTCTGCCTGCTCAAATCTACCTTAAATTTCCTTTAGTTCAGTTTTTACTTTAGTTATGTACCTTTCACCTCCATAATTTTGTTTTGGTTTGTTCTATGTTTTCTATCTCTTTATTGATCTTTTCATTTTGTTCATTGATTTTTTTATGACTTTCTTTACATCTTCCTTTAGTCTTTTGGGCATCTTTAAGGCAGTTGTTTTAAAGTCTTTGTCTAGTAGAACTTCTATCAGGTCTTTTTTGGGGACAGTTTCTGTTGATATATGTTGGCATTTTTTGCTCTTTGAATGGGCCCTACTTGCCACATACTTTGTATGCTTTGTGGAGGGGGGGGTGGTGTGTGTTTGTGTGTATGAATAACTGGCCATTTGAATCTAATAATGTAGAAACTCTGGAAATCACTTTCTTTCCTTTCCTCAGGGTTTGCTGTTTTTAATTTGTATTTATGTATTATTTTATTTTATTTTTTATGTTTTAATATGTAGGCTGTCTATGCTAAGCATCAGCCTGAGGTATAAACTTAAGGTCTTTTCAAGACTATTCTGAGCTTGTGCTTTTCTCTGGGCATGCATAGTCACTTTCTAATTTTCCCACATACGTGGTTGCTTTTGAATGTCCTCATTTTTAATACGTGGCTCCCAAAGGGAGAAAAAGATAAAACTGTAGGAGGCAAGGGAGAAAGGGTGCCAGTCTTCTAAATCCCTTGGTCATTACTTCAGCAGGAAGGAAAGGGGCTTGGACCAATTAAGGGATACATAACAAAGGCTCCCTATTTGTCTGCACCTCTGTGATCAGAAGCAGCCTAGATCCTAAATACTCGAAGGACAAGGTATTTTTTGTCCACCCTAGTTTCTACTTAATGTGTACAAGCTAATTGATGGAATGCATGCACAGTTACTTGTTCTAGGGGGTCTGGACGTGGGGAGCGGGTAGGTACAGTTGTGCTAAGAGCTGAAATGGACTGAAATTAACTAAAGCTCACTTCCCTAGCCTTCCCCTGAATGTTGCAAGTCTTCAGTAGATTCTAGAGTTCCAGATTAGTTACATCAGATTCTGCCGTTGTGCTTGTCGTGGAAGTGGAGAGAGAGAATTCTGGTGCTTCACACTCACACATCTTTGAAATTTTTAAGAATTTTAAATATTATTAAATTTTAAGTGGCTAATATTTGCATGCTAAATTCAATCCACCCTTTATTCTCTGAAATGTTTTTCTTTAGAAATCATGGAGGTAGAGCTTTATTTTGTTTTGAAGGAAGTAGTTGTCATAAGCAATGTGCATTTAACAAGCTACTTTTAAAGTAAATTCTAGGAGATTCTAATGCAAATTAAAATTCATTGAGAAAGAATACTTTATTGGGAACATACAGTGTATATAACCTGTTTGTATCATTTTTGTTCATGTGTACATGAGGGATTTTGTTTTTATACCATTCTAATATATAAATTTTTTATTTATATCTTATTACTGTTACATTAGAATTGCTTTTATGTGGAGAACATTTTCAGTAAACTTCTATACATTTTCATTTCTGTGATTAAAAAATATATGTGGTTTGTTGAGTCATTTTAAAAAATATATTTAAAATTACTCATAACTAACAATCTTTATTGAGAGCAGATGTTGAATATTTTACGTTACGAATTTATTCACTAGAGATTTTATCATGAAAAATGGGATTTTTAAAATTCCGAAATATATGCCTTCACTTGTTTTTAACGTAACTGGTTTTTTAGCTTAACTAATTTACAACTCTATTTTCACCTCAGGGATTTGCTAAAACATTGCAAAATGTAGTTTTAAATCCTTGAAACTTTAATCCTTCTTTACTTGTCATACAGCTACATGGACCCTAAATTGTGTGACACTAATATTCATGTTGTTACGGATTTTGATTGGTAGATTACATGCAACAAACTGGAGGACAAGCACATCTGTTCTTTTGGATGACAGTGGAAGGATACCGGGTTACCGCCCAACAGCAGCTAGAGGTTTTATTAAGTCGTCAGAGAGATGGAAAACATCAAACTAACCAAACCAAAGGCCTTTTAAGAGCAGCTGCTGTTGGAATTTATGAACAGTATTTATCAGAAAAGGTGAGGGTATATTTTGATTACTGTTTTCTTCTTTAGCAGTATTATTAATAATTTTTGTAATCCATTGCTCATGCCAGGCTGACTGCATCACAAACATTGTCTCCTTTATTCAATAACAGTCTTCCTGTCTGCGTTTATTCTCATTTGAATGAATATTTTGATGTTTAGGCAGTCAGATTATCATGGCCAGCGTCATGCAAGTACGAAATGACAGAATCAGGTTTCACGGTCACATGTTAGATTCACCACAGGCTGAAAGTAAAAGGACAGAAAAATATAAACCATGCAAAAGTAAACAAAAGAGAGTAAGGATGTTTTCATTCTTAGGATCAGGATGATAAAACAGTTGTAAACATATATGCATTTAATAACCGAGCCCCCAATACATGAAACAAAACTTTGCAGAAATGAAGGGTAAGAGAGACAATTCAGTAGTTATACTTGGAGACTTCAATACCCCACTTTTGATATTTGATAAAACAATTAGAAGAACATGAAGGATATGCAAGACTTTAGGAACATTACAAATTACGTAGTGCTATCAAATAATATATATACTATATTAGCTAACTATAGTTCTATAGAAAATATAATACATCTGTAGAGTCTATAGAATAATACATATAATTTTATAGATTATTATAGAACATATAGAATGCATATTATATGGAATAGAATTGCTTTAGAATTTATAGGATAATATGTGTATATTCTCCTATAGACTATTTCCCCTAATGATGGCAATATACATGTTATTTTCAAGAAACGGCAGCAAAATACACATTATTTTCAAGAACACAGGGAACATTCTCCAAGATAAATAATTTGCAAGGCCTTAAAAGCCATCTCCATTTAAAAGTATTGAAATCGTTCTTGCCTTGAAATGGAAACAAATTAGAAATCGACAAAAGGAAATTTGGAGAAACTATTGAAAATTAAATAACATTTCTAAATAGTCTCTGACAACAAGAAGTGACAAGGAAACTAGAAACTATTTTAAATTGGGAAGAAAATGCATTTTATCAGAATTCATGGGATGCAACTAATTAGTGCTTAGAGGAAAATTTGTAGCTTCAAAAATGTCTAATTAGAATAAGGATCTAAAATCAACAATCTTAAGTTTTCACCTTAAAAATCTAGAAATGAGATATAAACCCAAGGCAAATAGAAGAAAGGAAACAAAGATTATTATCAGAATCAATAAATAGAAAGCAGAAAAACCATAGGGAAAATCTAAAACTAAAAGTTGGTTCTTTGAAAATATCAGCAATATTGACAAACCTTTAGCTAGACTGGCCATGAAAAAAATGAGAGAAGACAGATAACCAAATTCATAAATGAAAGTGGAGACATGACCCCTGACCCTACAGATGTTAAGAGGAGTAAGCAAATATTATGATCAACTTTATGACAACATATTAACTTAAAGTGGACAAATTTTTAGACACAGATTACCAGTCTAACTCAAGAAGAAATAGAAAATAAAATAAATTGCTTAAGAAGGTCTAATTCTTGCTGGCTATAGAAAAGATGCTAAAATCTTGGTCTGTGGTGAAATTGTATTTTTTTAAGTATAGGACAATAAAGAATTCTTTCTCTAATTTAAAATACTTTTTGAATGAAAATGGAGAAAAGGATTACAGTAAAGAGAAATTTATAGGCAGTTTCTCTAAAATTGGTAGATGATCTTTGACAAGGCCAAAAGCAGCCTAGAAAAGAATTGACGGACTGACCTGAGTTGTTTGATGTTACGTACATGTAGGTTGTGATAAACACTCATGTAGTGAACAAAGTGACTCTTGTTTTTGAAATAATATTAAAAACAAAAAGTCACCAGAAAAGGACAGTCAGCTTAAACAGGATTTTCTCAGTTTCTCTCCTAAAACTAATTTATTTGGAATTGAACTTCAGGTTCACTAGTGTATCTGTGTATTTAAAACCCATTTTTCCTCATAGAGAGATTTAACTTACAATGGTGTCATTATGCTTCAAAGTATTTAAATATGAGCATTGTAGGCATGGATAGAATTTATAGATGGAAAAGACCTGATTGGCAAACATTGATCTATCTACCAAACAAACCATATATATAGCTTTTGGACTTTTTTTTGAGAAGCAAAATCAAATTCTACACATTTAAAAACCTGTATTTTTTGGTGGGAGGGGTTGAGGGGCAGATGGAGTTTTTTTCGCCCAGGCTGGAGTGCAGTGGTATGATCTCGGTTTATTGCAGCCTTCGCTTCCAGGGTTCAAGCAATTCTTTTGCCTCAGTCTCCAGAGTAGCTGGGGCTACAGTTGAAAATCTGCTTTTAAATACGTAAAATCCCAATTCTTACATGCCCAATTTATTTTGTCGAAAGGATATTTAGGCCAGGATTGGTGGCTCACACCTATAATCCCAGAGCATTGGGACTGTAGACATGAGTTCTCTTGTTTCCAATGCTTTGGGATTATAGATGGGAAGATTGCTTGAGGCCAGGAGTTCGAGACTAGCATGGACAACATAGTGAGACCTTGTATCTACAAAAAGAAAAAGAGAAAAGAAAATTAGCTGGAGTTGGTGGCACAAGGCTGTATTCCTAGCTACTTGGAGGCTGAGCCAGGAAGATTACTTGATCTCAGGATATCAAGGCTGCAGTGAACCATGATCACACCATTGTACTTCAGCCTGGGTAACAAAGCAATATTCTGTCTCTAAAAAAAAATTTTTTTTTTTTTAAAAAGTTTATTTAACTTGATCCTTCACATTGAATTGACATAAGAAATAAGTGTGAGGTGGGCTTGTAAAGAGTAGAGTTAAAAGTCAAGGTGAATTTTTATGTTTTATTATATTCAGTGCTAACACTGCATAAAAAAATGTTCTAAAGGCTACAGGCAGTTCAGGAAAGTATTTTATTAGAGAAGGAAACAGAAAAAGTAAAACTATCCTACTGCATCATGAACTAGAGAGAATAATCATTGTTTATTTCTGTTAAATATAGGTGATACCTGTTTTGCATGTATATTCTGCTTTTATGTACATTTGTCTTTTAAAAAGTCTTTCTACCAAGGATGAAGCTCAAAACCATAATTCTCAGCAAACTGACACAAGAACAGAAAACCAAACATTTCATGTTCTCACTCATAAGTGGGTGTTGAACAATGAGAACACATGGACACAGGGAGGGGAACATCATACACTGGGGCCTGTTGGGGGTTGGGGGGGGCAGGGGACGGATAGCAGAGGGCTGGGGAATTAGGGAGGGATAACATTAGGAAAAATACCTAATGCAGGTGATGGGGGAGGGGGTGGGTGCAGCAAACCACCATGGCATGTGTATACCTGTGTAACAATCCTGCATGTTCTGCACATGTACCCCAGAACTTAAAGTATAATAGAGAAGAAGTCTTCCTGTATTTTAAGAATACAAAATAATATAGCCTATAAAATTTAAGTATCCAGTAGAGTTTTTAAGGAAGTTAAACAGGACAGAAACATTGTAAATGACATATTGTTGTATTTTTCTCACACTTTTAACTAGTTCCATTGGTTTGTTTAAATAATCACATTTATGTGATAGAAAAGTAAATCATACACATTAGAAGATAATTTTGGAAAGGCATTCACTCTATTTTCATGTTAAAGTAATAACGAATGTGTACAAATATTTCTTTCTTTCTTTTTTTTTTTTTTTGGCATGGGGGACAGTCTCTGTCACCCAGGCTGGAGTGCAGAATCTCCCTGCACCCTCTGCCTCCCAGGTTCCAGCAATTCTCTTGCTTCAGCCTCCTGAGTAGGTGGGATTGTGAGCATGCGCCACCACACTCAGCTAATTTTTGTATTTTTTAGTAGAGACAGGGTTTTTGCCATATGGGCAAGGCTGGTTTCCAGCTTCTGGCAAGTGATCTGCCTGCCTTGGCTTCCTAAAGTGCTGGGATTACAAGCGTGAGCCACCATGCCTGGCCATATAAATACTATTTTTGTATAATTTTTTTTTTGGAAGAGGAGATTCTGTCTGGTTGTGTTTCATGTTGGTACATTAAAAGTGTTGGTCATCCTCTACCAAGGATGTGGCTTACTCTATTTCTGTGTACTTGAGATATACAGGAAAAAGTAAAGTTTAAACTAAATAAATGTAAAATGTTATTTTTCAAATTCACTCTTTTTATTTCTTGGTGAGTTTAGTGAGCTTAGAGGGCAAATGAAAGGGCAAAACCAACTAAATATCATATTTCTCTAATATTTGTCACATACTGAAGTCGTTCAGTTCTCCTGTTTCTATTTCAGGGGAACTCTACTACCCTCTGAAGCACAAAACAAATAAGCATCCCCCTCAAAAAATAACCACTACACAGCCTACTTCAGTTTACTAACAAAAGTGTTGAATTGACAGTGGAGCATTAGAAATTGTATAGCCCTTTGCCTATGTATTTATACTCTGATGTTTACTTTTACCCGTTCCTCATTTTATTGGATCAATTAGATAAGTTATGCAAATAATGCTTTGTTTGAGTCATCTCTAGGACTCATTTACTCTCCAGACTTTTTAGAACTAAAAATGCAAAAGTTGATATGCTGCAGCTGTTGTCTTGCTTTTCAGTGTTTTTTCTTTCAATCAAGTAATTTTTGAAGTTGAAATGTCAAATTTTGTATTTCCCTGTGTTATCTGTGTTGTTGTATACTTTGAAATGGAAGCTCTTAAAATTATTTTAAGCATTTTATTTTTTCCCATATCACACTGGAACTTTGCTGTAACATGGTTTATAAAACCAAATTTAGGATAATGGTAGTCTCTTTAAAGGCCATTCAGAAGAATTCGCTAGTGCCAAATAATGAATGAAATGGCTTATTCTTTCAGCAGTCATATTAATAGACATCTAGTACTACTGAATACTAAACACTGACTCCTAATGAGAGTGCTTCCAGTGTGCCAGACACTATGCTATATATCTTATATTAGATCTCTTGTAATCCTTACAATAATCTTAAATAACCTTATATAGTAATATCTCCATTTTACAGATTGGGTAAATGAAGCTTAGTGAGAGATAACTTGCTAGGAAAAGTTGAGACTTAAATCCATGTTTGTTTACCGGTCTATTATGTAGTACATGAGGAAGAGAAGGTTTTAGTCTTGTTTCAGCCCTCTTAAACATCAAGGTGTCATTTACAAACCAGTGATTCTTACCTGCCAATTATTTTCAATAATATGATTCCAGTATTATCATGCTATCAAGTGTTAACTTGTATTTAGAAATTACAGAGATTACTGTTTTTTTTCTGTTTGTTAGGCATCTCCAAGAGTTACTGTTGATGATTATTTAGTAGCAAAATTAGCAGATACTTTGAATCATGAAGATCCAACCCCTGAAATCTTTGATGACATTCAAAGGAAGGTATTATTATGTACAGCATTTATCATTTTATCTTTTTTGAGAAAAAAATGTTTTTATGTAATGTAATTAGTTTCAAAAAACTTTTTAAAGTAGAATAGTATTAAAAAGGTAAACTATGACAATTACACTTCTCAATTCCAGAAATGTAAACCAATATTTATGTTTATTTCTTTAATTTTTTGAGAAATATCCTTAAGTTGGGTTGTTTTATTTGAATTTGATTGTAGAGCTAGATATTGTAGTCTCAGAATTTGATGAATTGATGTCATATAAATAATATGTCTCTCAAATTCATTTTAATATAAACCTTGAACCTTTACATATACTTGTTTTTTAGAAAGTACTTCCCAGAACGTGCTGTCTTGTGACTTGAATTGTAGTAGGATTTTTTCAGTATCATTTAGTTACTGGAAGGATCAGAGGAAATCATTAGTTGGGAAGTAGTCTTATTACTGACAGCTTGTAACTATGATACATTATGACAAGACCTCAATGTATCTTTTGGTGAAATTGTATTTAATAAAAATCACTATATATCTGTATTAATTGTTGAATATCTTGATTTATTTCACCAAGGTATATGAATTGATGCTACGAGATGAAAGATTTTATCCTTCCTTCAGACAGAATGCACTTTATGTGCGCATGTTAGCTGAGCTTGACATGTTAAAAGATCCTAGTTTCAGAGGATCCGATGATGGGGATGGAGGTAAGGTGGCACACATTTTACATGTATATGCATGTGTATTTATACATATTCTGCTTACCAAAAAAAAGAGCTTTTATACAAGTTAAAAATGTTATTGAAGTCCAAATATAAACTAATGTACTTAAAAATCAATAAATGAATGACAGAGTTTAGTGACTGTACTAAATTAAAATGTTGAAATTTTAATAATGGATTAGAATATAACTATAGAAGCCTTGAATTTTTAAAGAGGAATGTTTTCAGGTGAGTCACTTAAATATTTTTATGGAAGTTTCCCTTTTGCTAATATTCATGATTAACAGTAGAATTATTGAGAAGATTTAATATGCAGTAAGTAATGACTCAGAGTATATTATAAACTATAAAGCATTATAAAACTACAGTTTTAGATATCTTTAATTGTATGCTTTTGCAAATCCTACGCAGTGTGAGAGACTTTTGAGCTAGAAAAAATTATGAGTCATTTATTCCAACTATCAATTTTTTTCAAATGAGAATAATGAGACCTGATTAACATGTTATGGTGAAAAAAATTTTTAAGAATCACAATATTTAGATTTTATTCCCATTCTACCTTACTACCTATGTGATGTTGACCAGTAACTACTTAATTTCTTTAAGCCTCATTTTTCTGAGTTGGTAAATCTGGAATAATACTCTCATGATATCTTACATTAGTCACTGTTAGATTTAAATGTAATTATGCATATGAAAATGATTTATAAAGTAAAACACAAGTATCGGTTTTTATTAGTGTAAGGCCAGTTGCCTTGCCAGGAGTCAAACGGACACATTTATCACTCTCTGTGCCTGATAACTGCATCATCACCCGAGCTCATTATCTGGCTTCACCACATAGCTTCCCCACACCCACCTCTGCATACTATGCACAAGCCCACACTCAGCACTAAATTATGCATCCAACCTCCAGCCTGCTGTTAAAAAACCCTGCAGAAAATTTTTTTAAAGAAGCCCCACCGTACCCTGCCCAGCAACAGCCTGCCCTGTATGCCCCTGGCAGGCCCGTGTACCCAAGGTCCCGCCCACCTACCAATGGCAACTAGTTTCATATACTTCATACGTTAACTCCATGTACTTCCTGCTCCTCAATAGCCAATAGAAATGCCTTCTCTTTGTTTCCCCAGTAGTCAGTCAAGGCCCACCTACCCAAGGTCCTGCCTGCCTACCAATGGCAGCTAGTTTCATATACTTCCTACTTTAACTCTATGTACTTCCTACTCCTCCACAGCCAATAGAAATGCTTTCTCTTTGTTTCCCCAGTAGCCAATCAATTGCCTGCCCTCCCCATAAAACCCCATGCCCTGAACAGCCAGGCGCAACTTCTCTGGCCCTCCCTGGGACCACTGAAGCTCACCTGGGAGCTGAATAAATTAACTTCTCACTTTCTTAGACTTGCCTCAGTTTCCTCATTTAACCTCAGCAATAAATAAATCTTACAATTAGTAAATACTGAGTTATATAAGAATAGTGGGATGCATAGTCCTTAGAACACAAGTTTCCAAAATCTTAGGCCCAATTATCATTTACTTGTGATTCAGTTCAGAAGTATTTATTAAACTCTAATTAAATATCTAGGATTTGAAGAACTTGCGGGTATGTTCTACCAAGTAAATGAATAAGGTCAATAAAATGTAAATAGAAGACATCTAAATATTTTAAGAAAGTGCTTCAGTTATGACCACTTATGAATAGGTTTTATGGACAAGCACACTTGGGAATAGAAATGCAATAGAGCTATTAGATAGTGAGCCCTACTTTAAAAAATACTGCTATTATGGAAGTCTCCCAGCCTCTCCTCTCCTCCACCTCCTATCCTTCTGTCTATACTAGTGAGATTTTGTTTTTTTTAATTAACTAAGAAATCTAGTTACTGAAATTTACATTTGAAATGTAATAACTTACACATATATATTTTTTTGAGACGGAGTTTTGCTCCTGTTACCCAGGCTGGAGTGCAATGGCATGATCTCGGCTCACTGCAACCTCTGCCTCCTGGGTTCAGGCAATTTTCCTGCCTCAGCCTCCTGAGTAGCTGGGATTACAGGCATGTGCCACCATGTCCAGCTAATTTTTTGTATTTTTAGTAGAGATGGGGTTTCACCGTGTTGACCAGGATGGTCTCGATCTCTTGACCTCGTGATCCACCCGCCTCGGCCTCCCAAAGTGCTGGGATTACAGGCGTGAGCCACCGTGCCCAGCCAATAACTTTTAAATTGATTATGTATCTGATGACTTGGGTTTTTAAATTAATACTCTTTCAAGTTTATGTGTACAATTGAAATAATCTATTAACTGCATTTGATTGCATAAAGGAAGTTTTTTAAAAAAAAATTTTTTTCTCTGTGAGTTGAATAGTAAAATTTAATATACCTCTAGTTTGTTGTATAATATATATCTGTACTTACTATCTTTGTTGAAAAATCTTCTTTTATAGAGCTACTATGAAATTTGCAATAGCAACTCTGTGTCAACTAACCATCCTAAAATGACTACTATAAAAGTTTCTGTTGTTTAAACTAATTTTATCTATTTTAGACATTTCTTAGTATTTATGAAATGGAATTGCTATATGACTCAGAGAAGACAGAGTCATAACCACCTAATTATATGGGCTTCTAAGTAATGTGTAATTTAAACTGGTGATAGTAGCAATATATTCTATGGAATTAATTTTTTATCCTATAACTTAAGAACTCTTCCAGTCTTTTAAATGGACTTTTAGCTTCCATTCATATCTTTGCAGCCAGACTGTCCTCTTCAATACAACTATTGGAAGCAAACGATAAGTAATCTCAATCATATACTGTATTTTTTTAGAACATGAAGTACATTTTCTGGAACTGGTTTTAATCTGAAGTAAATATGCTTCTCTTATAATCAGTCATTGAGTAACCCCTCACATTTGAATCATTGATTGCTGTTTGAGATTATATACTTACATATCTTATTGTCTTTCCAGGATATTGCTCTCTAATATTTTGTTTCTTAATGATGAGTTTTATACTGTGAAATTACCTATCCCTTTTTTTGAAACCATTTGAAAAAAGCTTATGGAGTGATGGGTATGATATGAAACATTATTATTAAAATAACTGTTAGCTTTTTGGTTTTGTCAGTGTTTAGGTTTTAGTCCACTGGTTTACTTTTCTCAAATAGTAATATTACTGATTTACCTTTTTATAAGATTGTTTAATCAGAAATAGGCCTTTCCACATTTTTTGTTATAAGTTAGTTTTCTGACTTTTAAAATTAATCTACTCAGCACTACATGTATTTTTTAAACATTCTGAAATTTTGACTGCATTTTAGATATTCTGAAATAATTGTCTAATCTAGGGATTAATGAGTAGCTGATGTTTTTAAAAAGTACTCTACAGTTGAACCTAAAGTTAATGGACCACATCTTATCATATGGTATAGTACCATATCCTCTGGTGGTTTTTCTTTGCTGAAGTAGAAATTTCATTCCTATTTAACCAAACTTAACAGTAGGTAGAGAAGTAACTGGATGGCTTGCTTGTGCTTACTGTCTCTCCTCTCTGCTTTTCTCCTCATTTCTTCCTTTGCCCTTTCTCTCTATTCATGATTACTTTTTTTAGTTATTAAATTATTTTAAAAGTAGATATTTTCTTCTGTATTAAAAGAAGGTCTCACAGTCTTTTAAAATTAAATGAAGTATGCTTTCCTTTTTAATTTTCATCAGTCTGTTTATCCCTGACACTGCAGACTGATTTTATTTGTAATCTTTCTTAATTTAGTGTGACAGAAGTTACAAAATAGTGCTGTTTGCATTATTCCCCCCATGTTGAACATTGTTTTCTTTTGTTTTCTAATATTTTTAGATAGTTATCAAATTCTTGATTAAATGTGGACCAAGATTGATTTTATACTATATTTCTGGATCTTCTTATTGTTGATCAAGAAAGTAAACTCTACCTTATTTTGCTCCCAAATTCTCCTTTAACTTGACTTGTCTTTGGTGGGAAGATTTAAGAGATGGGCAGACCACAGAAGAAGTAGGAGGCATATAGCATATAATTGAATAAAGAGGATAGAGTACTATTTACTCATTTTAAGTATCACCAAGGGATAATCCTAGGTGCAATTCCCAGTTTTTTGTTACCAGAGGGCTGAAGAACCAAGAAATGTTCTTTAGCATTTACCATAAATTTAGAAGGCAATATCAGCTGCCTCCTTGTAGAAATAATACAGTCTTGTTTTTTTTTTTGAAGACCTATTTGGAGAACCAAATTCATAAATAGTCTCTTAAGTGCTAGAAACCATACCTTAAACTGTATGTGAATATTGCTTTACCATAGATTTGTTTATGTATTTAATAAAGGAACACCTTAACTAGTAACTTAATTTTCTTAAATTTATAATACAACCTAAGGGAAAAGATTATTACCTGACATTAAGGTTAATAACCTAAAATTGACTTAATCTCTAACATTAATTTTTCCTAGTTGCTTTTTAATTAAATGAAATTGCATATGGAGTTTTAAGTGTCTTTCTGTCTATTAGTTATATATTGATGTAAAAATCTGGACTTCCAGTGTTTTCAAGAAAATCTACCAACAAGAATAAGAGGACTTAATAGACCTATTAAAAATAAGTCTTTTTATCCCTCACACTACAGACTGATTTTATTTGTAATCTTTCTTAATCCGGTGAGACAGAAGTTACAAAATAGTGCTGATGTTTCTTAATGGGCCTCATTCTGCAGTATTTTCCTCATGCTTACATTGTATTACACAACTTAATTTGATACCATGAGAATAAAAACATTTAATAATTTCTCTCCTGAACACGAATGCCTTTTTATTTTTTCCCCAGCTATCAGGTACATATTATATTGTCATTTAAATGTCTGGCTTGCAACAGCATGGAACTTTAAGGGATCAAGTTTTAGGGAGTAAATTCCACAGTTTTGTTTTGTTTTTTACTGTTATGTTGTGTCTTGGCTTATGTGACTTTCATTCTTGGTGTTTGAACCTTAGATAAAGGAACTATTTTAAAGTTTTTTGCTGTATACTAAGTTGAATTTCCCCCCTGCAGAATCTTTTAATGGGTCTCCTACAGGAAGCATAAATTTGGTAAGTACTATTATGGGTACTTTAATTATGAAAGTGATTTAACATAGGTAAATACATTATATATAAACAGGCCCCCAAATCATCCTTTAGTATTGTAAAAAGTTACTATGCTTTTAAAGAAATGCTAAGTTCACATATGAGGTATCTATGAATTAGAACTTAAAAATGTTTTATCTTTACTTTAAAAATTGGCTTAGGTTACACCTGCATAATTGCTTTTGTGCATTTTATAAATAAATTGATTTCATTATTTTCTGTTCCAATATTTATGTGTTTAAATTACTGACTAGTGCTATGATAGGCAATAAGGTTGTGACACACAAATGTTTATATTGGAATCTGTTTTTTCTCCTCTTGTATTTAGAAAGAAATATAAAACTAGTAGGGATAACCAAAAACCAAGAGGTATTTCTTAAATTCTATACTAAAATTAAGGTCATTGTAAACAACTTTTTTTTTTTATCAGTTTAGACAGTTTTACAGCAACTACATATTTATGATTAGAGGTTAGAATGACATGTTTTTAGAATCTCAACTGTCATTGGCGTTTTATATATTCAGGGTAAAGCCTAAAATAATGAACATTTCAGTTCACTTATATATTGAGCCTTGTCATTGAATAACTTATTTTCTGAGATTCTGTTGGGAGGAAATATTAGTGCTCTATAAAGGTTTCAGTTCAATTTGGCTGGGTATGGGAGGGGGAAAACAGGTAAGGTGTTGTTTTGTTTTTCTTCCTACCTGCATTACTTTTTGTTTTAGACCTTTTGTAATAGCTAAATGTTTTACAGGTAATTTTTCTTAGGTGTTAGTTATACTACCATGTTTACTTCTAAAATAACCTTATTGAGTAAATGTTTTGTTACTGTATTATAACCTTTAGTAAAACACTAAAGCAAATCTGCCATAGGATTGTCAGATACTTTGTAACTTTTAAAATATTTTCCTAAATCATTTGGTATTATTACCATTTCCTTATTATAGTCCAGAGCTTTAAACAAAAAGAAATTTCTTCTAGAGCTTGAAGGAAGTGTTAAAAATAATGTTCATTATACAGCAGAGTTTCCAAATGTGACAAAACTCTTCCTTGGTTTGAAAGTTTTTAGTATTCACATTTGTAGTGCTTGTGTAAATGTTTAAACACTAGTAAAAAAATTGTTTTTCTTTATTCCATGTCTGGAATAAATGCTTTTCCAAATAAGAGAAATCTCTTTTGTCACATTTTAATATAAACCAGAATAGTCTCTGGATCAAAAAAAGGTCATACTTGAGGTCAGTGACTTGGAGTATTTTATTATTCCTGTTAATCTATTTACTTCATACTTTTAAGTAGTGGGACCATGTAGGCAAATTTTAGTGAATATCTGCATTTTAGAAGTAGCTTAAGATTGTAAACTAGATCACGATAGTTTATTCCAATATACTAAACAAAGGAGATGTTTAATGTGCTTGGTGTTTTGTACATTTGCCGTTGGTAGCTTTATAGGTAAATTATAAGCATTTCTGTTAGTGCCATTATGGTTGTGTTTGATTAACTATCATAGTAAAGTTGAATTTTCAATTTTTGTCATAGTGTTAAAAAAACACCTTTCCTTGCAAGGAGTTTAAAAACCGTAACTTGAGTACTTTGCAAATCGCGCTTATTTCAATATGGCATCAATGAACTTGTTTTGAAATCACAGTTCTCTTTTAAGTAATCAGTTCTTACATTTCTAAATCAAATGTAGTTTTATAAATATTATTTTACCAATTGTAACTTTATAATTTACTTGATATTTACTTGTGTACTATAACTGTAACTAATGTTTTTCCAAAGTTTTCATTATATGTAACAAAAACAGTGTTTACAAATTGCATATTTTAAATGAGATAAAAAGACATTTTTCCACAAAGCCTTTTAACGACTTTTGGATTGCATAGTTTGAGATGCTAACATGTTTAAAGAGATAAATACATTTAGCATTTTAAATATTAATGTACAAGGGAAAGTTACCATTATTAATAATGCTTTGTTTAAAAAAATAGATTGTGTTACCTGTGCTGGCTTATAAACAGAAGAAGTTATAGTAGGTAATATAAATTTGGTAGAATATTCCATTTCCTCTGAGTCTTCTTTCAAATAAAAATGTTGAAGTAAATGTTATGCTATTTCCATTAAAATGTTTTCTTGAGCATGTAAAAAGAAGTGCATTCTTTTTTTCCCCCTAAAGTATTTTCATTCACAGTGTGTCCTGACAGAGATGTAGGACAGGTATTAGCCCCATTTTACCATTGGGAAACTGAAATCCGAGAAAGTAGTTGATATGGCTAAAGTCTCTTAAGGTATTGGTAGTAGAGCATGGACTAGATCTCATTTAATTTGATGTCTTTGCCATTTGAGTTGACCAGGGAAGTCTTGTGTATTATCTGTATAAAGTCTTGTGGATTATCTGCAGAAAATCTCTGTAATTCTGTCTCTATAGAATTATCACAGTTTGCTTCTCCTAACAATCTGTTTTTAGTAGATACTTTTTTTTACCTTCTTAGAATGCAGTTGCCTTAATTTAAGTGACTTGGTGTCATATGGATGGCTGCATTTAAGTCATTTAGATGACTTTTTTAGTAATAATAATATTACATTAGGACTCAAAAGCTCATTCACATTCTATTATTTTTAAAGTGTGAAATATATCTGAGTTATGTAACATGAATATGTGACATGTGAATAATGTAAATACATGAAATATGTCTAGATTATATATGTTTGGTGTCCTGAAGACCACTCCCAGGCTCAGTGATTTGCTAAGAAAACTCACAGGACCCACCAGAGACTTACTCACGGCTAGAATTTCTTACCATGAAAGGTTGTAAAGCAAAATCAGCAAGACAACATGTGTAAAATGTTGCCACCAGAAAACTCACTGGAGACTAAATGTACAGGTTTTCTATCAGAGGCAGAATACATCGCACATATCAGAATTCCAGACTTCCAGGAGGAAAACAGGTGTTCAGCATAAACAATTCTTGTATAGATAGTTTAGGTATAGTAAACCACTCTTACTTGTTAGGGAATGCTGGGAATCTTCCCTAAATTTAAGTTCCCAGATTCCGGAAGCAGTTTTTTCTAAGCAGAGCAGTTGTAGGCTGCCATGTTAACTCTACAGTCTGCTTTCATTTTATGATTGTGTTTCTTTTTATGTATGTGTGTATATATGTATATGTGGCAAAAACATTTTAAAGTTTAGACCCAAAGGCTGTAGTTATAAAAGATTTATTTTGACTCAATAGATATTTGTTTATGAAATTGCTTTTGAAAATTAATCATTTAAAATCTATCATAGTCTATTGAGTCACCTCATTTAATAAATAATCAGAATAATAGCTAACATTTGTTATATTAGTTTTCTAAATTTCTTATATGTCTTATTTAATCTTCACATAATTCTGTAACTTAGGTGGTATTCTCATTTTATAGGTAAGGAATCTGAATTAAATTTAAAAATTATTTCTAAATTAACAAAAGTATTAAGTTAAAAAATACAGAGCTGGTTCTGGTATATTTCAACATAAATGTTAAGAATATATCTACTTATTTTTATCTAGATATTCTTGCCATATAAGGACCACAATTGAAAAGTAACAAGTGACAGTAGATGGACAAGCAATTAAGGATGAAATAATCTAATATATTGTTTATTACTAAATTATTTGGCTTTACTGTTTCTTAATCTTTGCTTTTTTTCTATTAGCCTAAATAGAAAAGATTATTGTGTGTGGAGGGGATGGAGGTATAGAAATAACATATAGTTTACATGCATGTAAATGAGTAATTGTAATGCCTATATGATGTAGAAATCTTTGACACGTTTTTTCCTATAAATTTTTAAAAATTTGTATCCTGATTTTTTTTTTCTCAGTCTTTAGATGACCTTTCAAATGTATCTTCTGATGACTCAGTACAACTTCATGCCTACATTTCAGACACTGGTAAGAGACTTTGAAGTATAATTATTGCATTAAAACTATTTATTATCCCTAAATTACTTTTCACATGTATTTTTACTAACCATGTTTTTTGTTCTGTAGTCATATTTTTTTTACTTTTCTTCTGCGGCATGTCTTTCATTAAATTCTATTATATTTATGTGCTTATGTATTTGGGTATTTGATCTCTCTAAGATAGTCAGTATCAACATTTGAAAATGCTTATATTCTAAGTGTTTTACCATTTCTAATAAACTCTGAAACCATTCTTTCCCTCTTTGATGCTTGGGTCTGGCTGGTAACTGTCTGTATAATTTTCATTAAATTTTTTTTGGAGTGATCTTAGTTCAGGATTAGTTTTCATACATGCACTCAGGGTAGAAAACTATGGTAAATGAAGCCCCCCAGTATAGGAGTTCGTAGAACTTCAAGAAGTGCTTGAATGGGGTGAGAAACCTCTAAAACTTTATGATCATTCAGAATACATGGAGAATTGTTAGTAAACCCAGGAAAAATTATCAGTTTTCATCAATGCCATTGAGTTATTAGAGAATACTAATGAGTATTAAATAATGACAGTTTTCTTATCTGACCTCTCACTGTTCTTAGAATATAAGAGTGTGTTTGTTTGTCATATTATATACTGAAGTGTAAACATACTGAGGTATATACCTTGATTCAATTTTATGCTTACATTTTAGACATTGAAGAGATTTTATAGTATAGTATAGTTTAGAAGACATTAACTTACATCTTTTAAAAATAGATCTTTGTTTCCTTTTTCTTTTCACTGGAACTGAAGTCTCAATTGACATTTGTTCACTGCCAGATTTCTGGAATAAAACAAGTATTTATTAACTTCTTAAAATGTATGGGAGCACTGTGCTAGGCAATTTTAAGAAATTATTTCTGCCTGACAAACTCATACAAACACTGAAGAGGCAGCATAGTATAGTAGTGAATAGTACAACTTTTTGACTGAATTGCTTGGGCTGAGAGACCCCAGCTCTTCCAATTAATAGTTGGGTGAGCTATTTAAAATTAAGGTCTAGTTTAAAACAAAATAGCTGGGTACACCTGAGTAAGTTCCTTGTTTGTATCTCAATTTCCTTATCTGTAAGATGGGATGGTAATAATAACAATAATACATAACTCGTAAGCTTGTTATGGAACTAATTAATTACATTGGTAATTATGCATAATAGGCATATTTGATTGTTGGTTCAATACATATCTTACCAATTGGACTTCAGAGTCTCTTTGGTTCTAGATCCTGTGTCTTCAACATCTCTGTTTCAGAAAGTAGCAGATTATAGACTAGTCCATTGCTATTGAAAGAACAGTCCAAGGAAGCAGTACACACACAAGAGTGGTAGTCTAGTGTGTTTATTGCTTCCTTCATTGAGAAGTCTTGCTTTAAAAAGTATTGGCTAACTTAAACAGTATGATTAGTAATAAAGTTGATTTACATTCTGATGCTATTTTTTTTTTTTTTACAGAATAAGAATTATTAGCAAATAGTTTGCAGATCACCTGCTATGAGTAACATTGGCCTAATTAATAAAAACAAATCCTTCTAGATAAATCACCATCTTCACAAAACCAATAACTGTAACCCCTTTTTCTTCCTTTAAGTCAAATTACCTTGATATCTTCTGCATTTCTTTTATAATTACCTCATTGTTCTTCCTATGGTGCATGCACCCTGGGTGATCTTCCAAGCCTATGGATTTTTGATAAGTCCTGATTATTCTTTTTTCGAATGCTTTCTTATATTTCTTCTCCTTTTTCATTTCCTGCCATTCTTCTTATTCTTGTTAATTTTTAATTCATGATGGTTAGCTGCCTAATTGGCCTCTGCTTTCTATTTTCCTTTCCCAAACCTATCTTGGACACAGTTGATAAAAACCATTCCCTTGTTGCCATGCTAACTCCATTGAGAAATGGTGGTTCTCTAACATGATTAAAAAGTGTTGTGTTGTTTGATTTGTATAAGTCTCTGAGAGAAAGATAACTGGACAAGATGAACAGTGATTAGTAGTGCTACTTACAGAGCAAGATGTCCAAGTGTATTTCTAGGCGTACATTTTGTAGTTCAGAAACAGTAATATTACATAGAAAGGGAATGAAAGACAATTTTGAAAAGAAAATACAAATGTTAGTAACATTTTTATGAAAGTTTGGGAAGAGTTTCTGTCCAACTGTTCTTGCCAATAGAGGGTTCTAACTTTTATGCTATTAGTTTACCAAGAAACTGTACTGAACTTATTCTGTGCAGTTATACACAAAATAGCAAAATATTTAGCCCCAAAACTTGATGACTTTTATTCACAATTATGAATCAATGTGTAATCTATTACTACACGATCAGTTTTAGACTTCTGGTTAGTATGGTAGTCTGAACTGCTATGGGAAATCCTGCCTTCCACACATAGAAAAGCTGAAAACAGTATTACAAGAAGAGCAAAAAAGGGAAATCTACAGGTGCCATAGACCATGAGGAAAAATAAATTTAGGGAATTGAAGGGATGTTAAAGCAAGGGGCTCATATAGCATAAAGACTGGTCCTGATTTTGGTAGGTAGCATTTTCATGTCCTCAAGTTTAGAAGAGGCAGGATGGGCCAAGGCTGTGGGAAGCTGGAACAAAGTCCTTTGTATAAATCCCAGTGTCATAAAGGCAGCTTGATGTCAGAGGAACTAGGAAAACTTAGCCTACCTTCAGTAGAAAGAGCAAGAATGTCAAGATCATGATTGGAAATGGTGTCTGTCAACCACAAAAAATTGAAAGCCCAGCTTGCATCCCATCATGGGTATGTCTGGATATAGCTGTCCTCAAGTGATTATGTATCACAAAATTTCAAGCTAGAGAGTTAGTATTAAAATTATTTCTGAACCACTGACCAGCAGTTGTGGTGACACTTCACTCTGTTCAATGTGAATGTTTCTCTAGCCCAGGGCACTCAGAACACCCAGGGAGAAATAAAACCAGCTGGAAATGAGCTTACAGAAAGCAATTAATAGCGACAGAAAGCAATTAATAGCGACAGAAAGAAATAGTTACCACAACAAGAGAAAGCCAACAGAACTAGCAGATAATTTGCATCCTGTGAACTTGGAGATACCAGTCTTAACAGACTGAGTCATAAGTATGTTAAAAATATTCCTAGAAAGAAATCCTATGACAAGAATAAACACTGTGAAAACCAATTAAAATTCTAGAGATAAAAAAATACAGTGATTGAAATTAAGGTCAGAGGATAGATTAAGAAATAGACCAGATAAAGATGAGAAGAGACTCAACTTTTGGAGACCAAATTCTAGAGTGCAGAAAGAGAAAGAAATGGAACATCAGAAAGACAAGTTAAAGAAAAGTATTTGAAGTGGATCTCCTTACTTAAGATTAGTACAAAATGGGAACAGGCTTTGATTTTAAAGATTACCTGACTTGCTTGGTATGTGGCAAATTAATAGGTAAATGCTTTGGCAAAAAAAAATGCCCAGAATAAACTGGACTTGTGAACTATTTAACATTATCAAAGAAAAGTAAAATTGCCAGAAGATAAATCTTATCCTGTGGCTGTTGCTGTTTAGTTGACAAGATTTTAATTGTAATACAACTGAAGAGTGAAGGCTAGTACAAAATCTTACTTATTTTTTTCTATATTAAATTTAAGAAATTCTAATTTTACACTCTGAGGTATATTAGATGTAGTAATGTAATGATGTAGTGATGTGGTAACATAAAGCTCTTTGGAAGAGAGAATTGGTAATAGATACTGCTTTGTGGTTGATAGTGTCACACTAAACTTAGTTTATTTTGTATTGTAGCCATTATGTGTAATACCTTACGGATGTGAGCATGGAGGATGGGAATCTTTCCTTTGGGAACATCCTTTTGTCTCAGTCTGTCATTTCAGATTCTTCTTCATTTCATATTATCTTTTTTGTTTTCTTCGTCTTCCTCCTTTTTTGTGTCTTTTGTTCCTCTTCATTTTGTTTTAAATGATTAGTATATGCTGACTATGACCCATATGCTGTGGCAGGAGTTTGTAATGATCATGGCAAGACATATGCATTATATGCCATCACTGTACACCGGCGTAACCTAAACAGTGAGGAAATGTGGAAAACCTATCGTCGTTATAGTGACTTCCATGACTTCCACATGAGAATCACTGAACAGGTAATAAATTTTAAAAACTTGTGCATTTTATGTTGTTTCTTGATTTGATTTTGATTACAAATAATTCTGAGGATGCTTAGATATTAATTTTAAAAAAGATAAGAATATTTGGTATAATCACCATAAATTTTAGAATTAATCTGAGCATTTAAGTAATAAATGTTGAACACTTTATCAGTCCTAGTGACAAAATATTAAGGGTAAAAATATCTTGGAAAATTAATGAATACGTGTTTCTGATTTAAAAATGTGTGTGTGTGTGTATTGTGCTTTTCAGAGTTTTTGGGCTTAGTTTGAAAGTAGGGTTGGGGATTGCTGTAGGACATTTTGTGCTTTTGTTTTTGAAGGCATAATTTAAACCTAGAAGTTAGTTTAAATGGCAACTTCATCTAGCAGTGTAATGGTGAAGTGAATCCTTGATATATCACTGAAGTTACTTTGAATCACAACCTAAAATCAATTTAATATTAACCAAATCATATTTTAAATTCTTACTAAATACAACCCTCTTGTTTTATAGAAGTAATTTAAAAGAACTCTTAAAGATAAAAAAATCTAAAGAAATTATTTCCCTGTCGTATTTTTTAATTAAATATTTTCTCAACCTAAAAAAATAAAAGATCTTTGATGAAATGGAATAAATGATCTATGAAACTTATTTTAACTCTTAAAAAGTCCTCGATTCATTCAGGGTTTTAAGGTATACAACTGGTATTAAACCAATCATAGTTAAAAGTGACATCTGATTGGGTGAACTAAAGCTTTGCAATGACATTGTACCACTTAAGAAATCAGAAAATATCTTTTTTAACTTGATAGTGAGAAATCTATAGTTGGCACCATGATAATCTTATTAAAATATCTTGTGGATAGAGTGAGATAAACTATTAATAGCTTTAAAGTGATGAAAAACAGGTTAATGTTGACTTCTGAAGCCTATATTAAAAGGACTTTTTTATTAGTAAGAAAATTAAATTAATAACTTTGGACATGTCTATTCTTCTTTTCTTATGTCAAATATAACCTTTCTTCATGTTTAGCTTGATTTGTTTGCAGAGATTAAATAATTTTGTGCCCCAGATTGAAGAAATAATTGCTTTACTTTTAAAAATATTTACCCATTTGAGGATGGGGCACAATGGGTCACACCTGTAATCCGGCACTTTGGGAGGCCGAGGCAGGCAGATCATGAGGTCAGGAGTTCAAGAACAGCCTGGCCAACATGGTGAAACCCCGTCTGTACTAAAAATACAAAAAATTATCTGGGCATGGTGGTGCGTGCCTGTAATCCCAGCTACTCAGGAGGCTGAAGCAGGAGAATTACCTGAACCCAGGAGGCGGAGGTTGCGGTGAGCCAAGATCACGCCATTGCACTCCAGCCTGGGTAACAAGAGCGAAACTCTGTCTCAAAAAAAAGCAAAAAATTAGCCGGACATAGTGACAGGCACCTGTAATTCCAGCTATTCAGGAGGCTGAGGCAGGAGCATCGCTTGAACCTGGGAGGTGGAGGTTGCCTTGAGTTGAGATCACGCCATTGCACTCCAACCTGGGTGACAGAGTGAGACTCCTTCTCAAAAAAAAAAAAAAAAAAAAAAAAAATTACCTGTTTGATATTGTTCTAAAAGCATATAGCTCATATATCTTTTTTATTCCCATCCTTATACTTTAACCAAACATGATAATTTAAAAAATAGTTTGAATTGGTAAGAGTAGTTTTATTTATTTACAGGTTAATTTACTTGCAAATTAAAGAGAGTTTAGTGAATATGAAATGTTCTTTGAGTAAATAGTTGTAATTTTCTTTCTAGTTAAGAGGAATAATCATTCCCTAAGTTAAATGTTCTGGACTATAACTGTAGGCATTATGTTTATATGTTGACAAATGTAAATGAAGAACATACCTTTTAAGAAAACTTTAAGAGGATAGTTCATACAGAAATTTCCCCCTTCAGTTCAGCACCAAAAGTTACATGAAATTGATACAGCACAATTTCTTTTTCAAACAGCTCAGTGCAAGTGAAATGGATGTGTTTTGACTTGGTGTTTCTTCCCCCCTCCCCCCGTGTGTGTGTGTGTTTCTTATAAAGTCACAGTAGTTGTGATTACCTATTTAAATTGCTCACGGAACTTAAGAAACTAAAAGCTCCTCTTTTAAATGAAAATTAGGTTTTAGTAAAATATTAGCTATCTGTAAATAAGACTTAGGGTGTTTGCCTTTTAGCTCAGCCTTATCTATATTTTTAAAACTCAAATCCCTAATAAAATAATGAAAGAAAAATGTAATGACTTGTAATTCAGCAGTGGGTCACAGTACAGCCAGTTAACATGAATAAATAGTAACTGCATAGAACTTTTAAAGTAAAATTATTTTAAAACAAGTTTCATTTTGTTTATGTGCTTTCATGATCTGACATTTTTCCAAGGCTCAGTGCAGTGGTTCATGCATGTAATCACAGCAATTTGGGAGGCTGAGGTGGGCAGATCGTTTGAGCTAAGGAGTTTGAGACCAGCCAAGGACACATGGCCAAACCATGTCTCTACAAAAAATACAAAAATGTAGCTGGGCATGTTGGTGCCTGTCTGTAGTCCTAGCTATTCTGGAGGCTGTGGTGGGGGGATAACTTGAGCCTGGGAGGTGGAGGTTGCAGTGAGCTGAGATTCTACAACAGCACTCCAGCCTGGGTGACAGAGTGAGACCCTGTTCCGTAAATAAATACATGCATGCATGCATGCATACATACAGACAAAACAAACTAAATGTATGAGCTATTGTTTATTTTCTTTAAAAATGTGAATAATCTTATTTGATATTTTATGGAGTTGTATAAGGATTAAAACAAAATAATTAAAATGTTAAATGACATTATGTTGGAAATTGCCTGAACTGCTCATTCATTAATTTAACAAATATTTATTAAATTTTTCCTATGTGTCTGGTACTTTTCTTGTGCTAGCAATATAACATGGAACAAGGCAAACTAAGTCCTTGGCTCTAAGAGCTTGTAGTGTAGTCACTACTGTGCATTTCTGTTTTATTTGGTGAAATCTACATAGGTATAGGTAAACTACGAATGATTTCAATGTTAATAACATTAACTATTCATTAAGGTAACTAAGTAAAAATGTGCACCTATGATAAACAAATCTTGAGTTCTTTTAATACAAAATTTCAAATCTGTTATTTGAATTTTCCATCAGTATATTAGGATTCTAAACTTGGTGTGTTTAATGTAGAAAAGTAAGATCTTTGATTTTAGAATGTCCATGATTTATGTGTAGTATTTGAATTATTTGTAAACATTAAAATCCTCTTATAATTTATTTTAGTTCTTTTTGGTGAATTTCTGATTTTGTTATGTGCCTTTAAAAAACATTTTCATGAATTTTTGGCAGAGGGAATTATATTACTATTCAGGGATTGGGCAATTTTTTGCTTGTTCTTCAAAATAATCTTTTAAATAGAAGTTTATGATGAATTAATACAGAGTATAAATTTTTGCATGTTCTCCCTCACTTTTATAGTTTGAGAAAATTGTTAGTGATTTATGTTTCTTTACCAGACAGACAACTTAAGAAGGAATATGTTTTAGTTATTAGGCTTTAGGAAAATAACTGTTATTGTTTTTTTCTATTATTAGTAAGGCTTAATGTTTTAAAGTTTATGAAATAAATTGCTATTTTAATGGGTACTGTCATATTTCCTTATATTAGTTTGGTAGGGCTGCCCTAATAAAATACCACCAACTAGGTGCCCCAAAACGACAGAAATTTATTTTCTTACAGTTCCAGAGACTAGAAATCAAAGATCAAGGTATTGACAAGTTTTGGTTTGCCATGAGGGCTCCCTTATTGGCTTGTAGATGGCAGGGTTCTTGCCACGTCCCTACATAGCCATTTCCTTATATGCATGCATTCCTGTTGTCTCTTAGTGTGTCCAAATTTTCTTTTCTGATAGGATACTGGTCAGGTTGGTTTGGGGCCTATCCTAAGGGGCTCATTTAAACTTAGTCATCTCTTTATGGGCATTATCTCTGAATTCAGTCACCATCTGAGATACCGAATGTTAGGCCTTCAACATGAATTTGAGGAAATACAGTACAGGCCCACAAGACTTGGTAATGCTAGAAAAAAATACATATTTTCTAAAATTGAGTAGTTTAATATAATGTGGATAGGTCATATTGGAGTAAATATCTTAGGACACCTTGGAAAAGTAAATTTGGTCCCCCAAAATTTTTTGACATGTGATATTCAGGAGGACCCATTTCTAGTACTTTCGTGAATCACTGAATTTGGTAATACTGCTATAGTATAATGTTTTCTCTGTAAATTGCCTCTACTCTTTTTTGGTTTTCCTACCAATACAGGAACAAAAAAAAACCACTTTTTACCTTTCACGTATAACATATAATGAACTTGTTCAAATTTTAGCTCTAAGCAGCCATTAGATTTGTCCTTACTTTAGCAATGTATCACAGTCTTCCAGTTTGGGGATGAATATTATCCTAATACTTTTTATTTCTCTTTAATCTCTGCACCAAGAATTAGTTTTCTTAACAGAGATGTGGTTGTTTTGAACAAATACTGTTTTAAAAAGTTTGTTTCACTTTAGGATATGTATCAAATGGGAAAAATGGTGAGGCTATTTGAAATTTCAGGTACTAGGCTCTTGATCACGTACAGTCACTAGTTAAATGACTTTGCTCTTACACTATTTTAGCAGCTAGCATGGTTAAAAATCTGTGGTTTAGCAAGGCATTATAGATTACTGTGATGGACCCTTGAACGTGCAGCCAAATGTTAAGTCTGTAAGTACTAGACTTATGGTATACACATTTACTTTGTGTTTGTGATTTTACAAAGATAAAATTGTTCTTAATTTTTTTTGTTGTTATTGTAATCTATGAGTTTATGTTTAATGGGGTTGATGGGGCAAAGGTATCAATATTTATTATAATTGTATATGTACAGGATTTTAATTAGCTACTATCTATATTTTGAAATTTGCCTTTTTATTTGCTAGTACTTTATTCATTGGTCCAAGGCTTATTAAGGAAAATATTTTTTCAAAACCTTTTATTATGAAAATTTTGAACAATCTCAACATGAGGGAGAATTTTAAATGAAACCCCATTGGTCAATATTCATCTTCATCATTTATGCAAGTCTGTCATTCTTGATTTAAAATACTTTTAAAATAAATAATATTAGAACTGTGTTTTGAGCATATTTGGACAATGTTTTTTATTTTCTGATTTTTGCTTAGTATATTGCAAAATTATCTTTTGAAGATGTTTATAATTTGTAGAGAAATAATCAGTTTGGAAATTCTTTTGTCTCTATAAAACGTGCTACTAAATGTATTTTGTCTTACAGTTTGAAAGTCTATCAAGCATTTTGAAGCTTCCTGGAAAAAAGACTTTTAATAATATGGATAGAGATTTTTTAGAAAAGAGAAAAAAGGATCTAAATGCATATTTGCAGGTAAGTTCATACTTACTTTTATCCACAGATTTTCATTTAATATAGCACACAGGTATAGCAGAATGTTTTTACTGTGATCACAGGGTAACAACCACCTTTGTGCAGCATGTCAAATGTGACGTGCAGTCTGCTTAGTAATTTATAAACATTATTTCTGTGTTTAATGATTAACTTAGAAGTTTTCTAGACACTTAGTGTTAGGGATTTTGCCTGTTTGTGTTTAGATAAATGCAAATGCCTCTCTTCTCCTGGCTTAAAGCTAAATGTCTGACATCATTTTTATGACATAGGTCAAATGTTTGATTTTTTTTTAAGTGCTTACTTTATAATTTCATTAATATCTGCATCAGTTATTTACAAGATTCTTAAGAAAAAAAGTCTTTTAACATAAAGGTATCTTTTAAATGTCACAGTATTACATACTTCTTAGTTAATAAACTCAATGTCAAAACTTGTTCCACTGAAGGAACTAAGCTAGAATGTTGTTTGTTATATTAGCAGGTGTGAAAGCAATAGTTTGTTGAGGGCTTCCATATAACACTTGAATGTTTTTGTTTGGATTATTTAATGTACTTTATTTCATATTATTTTTGTTTGGATTATTTTATGTATTTTATTTCATACTATTTTGTTTGTCTTGAGACAGGGTCTTGCTCTGTCACCCATGCTGGAGTGCAGTGGTGCAGTCATAGCTCACTGCAACTTTGAACTCCTGCTTTCAAGGGATCCTCCTGCTTCAGCCTCCTGAGAAGCTAGGACTACAGGTGCATGCCGCTGTTCCTGGCTAATTTTTTAAATTTTTTATAGAGATGGGGTCTTGCTTTGTTACCCAGGCTGGTCTTGTATTCCTGGCTTGAGCAATTCTCCCACCTCAACCTCCTAAAGTGCTAGTGTTAGAGGCATGAACCACCTTGCCCAGCTTATTTAATGTTAACTCTAGAATTGTTATGCAAATAACAACAGTTTTCTAACCTGGATCTTTTTAGTATAAGCTATAAGATCTGAAAATAGAATAGTAAATATATTTGGACAACTTTCACATTAGATACACTGAAAGTCAAAATAGATGAGGTGAAGATATATACACCAGACTGTTAATTGTTGTAAAATTAGTGGTGACTTTATCTTAACTGTGTAATTGGATTTTTAAAAATATAAATCAATATTTTTTAACTATACATTTTTTATGAGCTAAAATTATAAACAGTAGTTAATCTCTAGCATCCTGTTAGTTTAAGATAATCTTTTTTTTACTGTTAGTTACTATTAGCTCCTGAAATGATGAAGGCATCCCCGGCTTTAGCGCACTATGTATATGATTTCCTTGAGAACAAAGCCTACAGTAAAGGAAAAGGGGATTTTGCTCGCAAGGTAAGTAAGCAGACCATTTAACTGGGTTTTTTTTTAGGTCTGTTTTCTTACTTTATTTATAATAAAAGAAAATAAATTTAGATTTGTATGTGTGTTTTAAAACTAGGAATTTTGTTAAGTTCTCCTCAGCATGTTTATCGCTATTGATAGGAACATCTACGTATGAACTTCTGTCTTCACATGTTGTTTATAATTCAGCAGACGCATGAAAGGAAGAAAAAAACAATTTGAAATGGTACATTAAGAAAAGTTTGCCTGAGACAAGTCACAAGATTTTCATTATCTGTAAAGGGAAATGTTTCATGCTGAGAGGAAATGTTGTTTACTTGGAATAATGATAAAAATATTAAATAGGATATGTTCTGAAAGTATGCCTCTTGAGAAAAATCTCTATATAGGAAATATTTTAAATAATTTAAAATAGGATTTAAGACCCATACTTGGAATAAAATGGTAAGATAAGACAGTAAATAAGTGTTTAAATTAGGTAGGATAGTTTAGGCGTAAGAACACAAGCTTTGAAATCAGGCAGCCTTTTGGTTCAAATCCCTGCTCTTCTGTTTACTAGCTGTGACCTTGAGCATGTTACTGAACCTTTGGTATTTCAGTTTACTCAAGAAATGAAGTTTTTTTCTTTGTTTTGTTTTTTAGACAGAGTCTCGCTCTGTCACCAGGCTGGAGTGCAGTTATGTGAACTTGGCTAGCTGCACTCTCCGCTTCCTGGGTTGAAGCAATTCTGCCTCAGCTTCCTGAGTAGCTGGGACTGCAGACGCACCACCATGCCCAGCTAATTTTTGTACATTTTAGTAGAGACAGAGTTTGTTGGCCAGGATGGTCTCAATCTCTTGACCTGGTGATCTGTCTGCCTCACTCTCCCAAAGTGCTGGGATTACAGGTGTGAGCTACCGTGCCTGGCTAAGAAATGAAGATTTACATGTCATTAGAGTATTATGTGACTCAATGCAATATTCTTTATATTACAGTGCCTGGAAAATTAATAAACCTCTCAATAAATGTTTGCTCTTAGTAATAGCAGCAATAGAAGCAGGAGCGCAGCAGTGGGGGGGAAGCTGGTACCACTCTTTGTATTTTATCACTTTTTATAAGTTTGAAATTATCTCAGAATGACAATGTAAAAAGAACAAGGACTTTCTCACTATTCTTCGTCCCCCTAAAAAGACCAACTTTAAAAAAAAAAGTTAAGAAATTAATACAAAATAACTAAGAATTAACAGTTATAAGAAGTTCAGGCCAAGCATAGTGTCATACCTGTAATCCTAACACTTTGGAAGGCTGAGTTGGGTAGATTGCTTGGGCCTAGGAGTTAGAGACTAACCCTGGTAACATAGTGCGACCCTGTCAACATAGTGAGACCCTGTCTCTACAAAAAATAAAAAATATTAGCTGGGCATGGTAGTTCGAGATACTCAAGAGGCTGAGGTGTGAGGATCACTTGAACTTGGGAGGCCAAGGCAGCAGTGAGCCATGGTCATGCCACTGAACTCCAGCCTGAGTGACAGAGCAAGACGGTTTCAAGAAAAACAAAAAAACTTTCATATGATTACTTTAGGATTTTTGATTATATAGGTTGGTGCAAAAGTAATTGCAGTTTTTGGACCTTAAAAAAATAATAATGGCAAAAACCACAGTTACTATTGCACCAACCTAATAACATTTCTAAGTTAGTGTTTTGTTTTAATAACAAGTTCCAGGGTGTGGCCCTTATAATGGAGGGGAAAAATGTATGGTGCTTATCTGTGTATTTCATGATTGAAGTGATAGAGTTAAATTCCAATTTTAAGTAGTTTTATTGTCACTAGAGATGCATTTTAGTCTTCTGTGTTTTTTATGTTTATGTGTCTCTTCTCCTTTAAAGGTTGTATCCATTTTAAGATAAACTAATAAATGGATAACAGCTTTTGGAGATAAAAGAAATATTAAAGTATACTTTTTTTTAACCAAACAACAGCACATGTGTATGTCCAAACAGTTATATACCACTTATTTTTAAAATTAGTAATGGAGTCTACCCATCCTTCTGATTCATTTCTGGAATTCTACAATAACATACGTTTTTCATAAACCACATTTGCGATAACCAAGGTCATATTGGCCTCTTTGTGTCAGAATAATTTTTATGCATATCAAGGATTTGAGATTTCTGGCTATATTTCCTTTTTGGCTAAATGATAGGTTAATATTTTTCGCCTAGTTATAGTTCACTGGAAATTTAATAGCTATTGAATAAGATCATCTCCAAACATTTTATCAGTGGCTGCTCAGAACTTAAGAAATAATACTTCATAACACGTTAATTTGGTCACACAATGAGTCCCAGCTTTGGAAAATCTGTGGAACATTCCTAGAAAGAGTGACTCACAAGTAGCTTTCCTCTTTGCTCACAGTATCTTTCTATCCAGTTTTGTATCATGGTGAAGGCATTTTAAGCTAAAATTGGAGATGTAAATTTAAGTTAAAGTACCATTGTGTTTATGTTGTTAACAGTACAAATAACTCAGCTGGGGTAGTAATTGAATACACAGTATCTGTGTATGGACAGTTAAGTGTACGCTTATGCTAGCAGTCTGTAATCTACTCCTGTATATGATCATCTGAAAGTTTTTCTTTTTTTCTAAAAATCTTCTTTAAAACAAATCTTGTTTTTGGAAATGTTTTCATACAATAATGGACTCTGCTTTTATGCTTATGAAATTCTGCTTCTTTCATGGTTAAGCAGCAGAGTCACCTATAGAGGTTTTTCATTCTTCTTACCCCAATTCCCTCCTAATACAAATGCTTGGGCTTTGCCTTTAGGAAAAAAAAAATGCTTATGTACTTCTGGGATGCTGCACAGAAAACTATTTTTAATTATTAGGAAATTCATTATATAGATTTAGTTTCTCTTTGAGTATTAATGGTAGTACAGCCTTATGCCTAGATAACCATGTGAGATAGTATTCATTTAACCAATTCATAATAGCTAAACTCAGGTTTCTGCTGTGAACTGTGAGATGTATAAATTTCTAAAATATTTTTGAGGATGTTACACGATTGTAACTCAGATTGGGGGTTAAATTGAAGTTTATGCCTTTTAGGCTTCTGAAATACTATTTCTTCTGTGACTTAGAGAGGTGGCAATGTTTCCTCAAGCTGCACATTTTAAATGTTGTATTGTCCTTAATGCTTATCTCTCTTTAGAATTCTGTACTATGATCTCATTGCTTAGCTTATTTATATGTTAATTACCATTTAAAAGAAAAGGCCACAGTGTTGCAAATTATGTCCTGATTAATTTGAACAAACTGTTCTGGTTGACCAAAAGCTACAGGATATAGAATTAGAATTACACATGTGTATGCATGCATGCACATGTGCATTGTATGCATAAACACACACAAGAATTAGCCACACATGAGAATTCATCTTTTTATCTTTTTGTTTCTCTCCACCAGTAGTTGTGTTTTTCAAATCCTTATTCAAGCTAATTTCTGTACTTTGGTTTTACTCTGAGTTGTACTCTACCAGTGCCCCTCTTAGGGTTGGACAATTCCATCAAGCATATCTGTGGTACTATTGGCTGAGCTTAAGCCAGGGAGTGACCAGCCAAAACTCTCAGCCTTTGTACAGTTACCTTGAAATTCACTTTTTATTAATACTCATTTTACCTTTTCTAGTTTTTCTTGATGGAAGCCACGAAAATATAATTAGCGTGAAGGAGTTTTGTCTTCTTCTCATCTTTTAACATTGCTGTGATTACTAAAGAGTGAGGTTCAGTTTTGTTACTGTTACTCATTTTTTTCTTTTTGCATGAAACATAATTTCTTTTCCCTGATAGCTTTTGTGATGCTTAACATTTTTTGAAAGATATTCCTGTAGTTTTGTATGACTTTGGTTTTGTGGCTTTTGATTTCTTTGTTTCTGTTAAAAATCTCTCAGAGAGTCCTATGTGCAGTTACTGTGGTTTCTTTAGACATCTCTTTTTTTATAAATTGAAATCATTTTACATTTTATAGCCATATATCAAGTTTTTCCTTCTGTCACTGAAGATTTGCATTTCTTCTGATATCTCTAGTTGTATTTCTTTTTACAGTTTTTCTATTCCACCTTACTAAAATATGGTTTACATGTCTGATTTGCAGTGTCTCATTTCCTTCTTTGTAATGAACTTCAGATTTTCTCTGTAGATTTTAATTGCACATATAATGTATTCTAAAATTATTTTTTAAGAATAAATCATAAATACTAGTTATTTCATTTTTCTATTTATTTTACCTGATTGTTTTCTGTTCAGTATGAACTCAAAATTCCCAGTTGTTGCCTTGAGCTTTGGCAGAAGTATATAGTGGCTAATTCTAGTTGCATCAGTTTCTGTTTTAGAAAACTTTTTTTTCCATACAATTTTGAATGGAAAACTTTTTCATTCAAAATTTCTTTAATAAGAAGGCAGCCAAAGCTTATGTTGATTTTCTAATAATAACCTCATCAGATTTTTAAATCATATATGTATATGTGAAAATACTTTTGTTTTTTGTGACAAGGGTCTCACTTTTGCCCAGGCTGGAGTATATGGAGTGCAGTGATGTGATCATGGTTCACTGCAGTCTTGAACTCCTGGAATCAAGCCATCCTCTTGCTTCAGCTTCCCCAGTAGCTGGGACTGCAGGTGTGTACCACCATGCTTGGCGTTTTTTGTTTTTTTTGTTTTTTTCTCCTAGAGATGAGGTCTCACTGTGTTGCCCAGGCTGGTCTCAAACTCCTAGGTTCAAGTGATCCTCCTGTTACAGCCTGCCAGAGTGCTGGGATTATAGACATGAACCACTCTGCCCAGCTGAAAATACATTTTTAAGACACAGTGAAGACAACATTTCTGTACTTTTAAAATGTAATGACATAATATAGACTAGAACATTATTGCATTTTTCCAGTGTTGCACTGTATATTTTCCAAGGCTTATCATTTGGATAACAACTTTGGTACAATAAAGTCACGATATAATATCTTTTTTCCCTTTAGATGGACACTTTTGTAAATCCTCTGCGCAATTCTATGAGGAATGTTTCAAATGCAGTTAAATCCCTTCCTGATAGCTTGGCAGAGGGAATGACTAAAATGTCAGACAACATGGGCAAAATGTCAGAAAGATTAGGTCAAGACATAAAGCAATCATTTTTTAAGGTAAGAAGACATTTTCAGTAATGTCTAAAGCAAACTATTTTTAAGCCAACTAACATGTATTGAATTTCGGCTGGATTTACCTTATTCCCCTAACCTTATTTCTTTTCCAAACTTTGCTAGACACCTAGTCTCATAAAGAATTAAAAAACTAAAGAGAAAAAATTCTTACCAGAAATGGATATAAATCTAGTTACTTGTTAATCTCTGCTATGGTAGGATTTTAAAATTCATTTAAAACAAAAACTTAAAGTTAGTAAAGTTAACATTCTTTGTCTTGTTTTATTTCATTATGCCATTTTTATCATAAAGTGCTACTAAATTTAGTAGCAAACAAATGCTGTTGTGCAAATGAGTTATACTAGTATTCACTCAGTAAGCATAAAGTTTTATTTCTCCTGTTTTACATGATAGAATGATTACCAGATCAAAGAGAAGAAAAGTTCATCATTAACGATCAATTTCTGTGGTCATGCATTATTGGTTATAGACCTCTACGTGTCATAGAAGAATTTCCCAGGGAGATTTTTTTAAATTACATTAACAGATACTGTGTAGTTTGTTGGATTCTTAATTAATATTTTAAAAATCATTTTGGCATAGTTATTTGAAGTCATAGTCAGGGCTATGAAACATATAGCTATTAGAACTTTGTACTTGATAAATCATGCTTGAATGTAGGGGAAATGTATGTAAACAGGTTTTCTTTAATGTAAGAGGCCACTTCTAAAATTGTGTAAATCATACTTTTCTTTTAACTTTCACACTTTCTCTCATGCCCCATTTTTGTTTCTATTTGGGAGGAACAATACTAACACTGAAATCAGGATTGTTTAGTCCTACTTCGGCTGCTCATTACTCATGACTTCATACAAAAAACACGGAACTTTTCTAGGCTTCTGTGTTGTCACCAGTAACTTGAGATGGTCTTGACAGTCCTTCCTGTGCCAACAAGTGATTTTCAGCTAATAGTGATCTTTCTGTCCTTCTTTCCATTCAAACATTTTGTTAATTTTTTAAACATATTAATATACTATCGAAAGCTCTTTATGGTAAAAAGAAAGATTGGAGCTCTGTTTCCTGGCAGTATTACTAACTACAGTCGTGCATTGCTTAACAACAGGGATACATTCTGAGATCTGTGTCATTGGGTGATTTCATCATCGTGGGAACATCATAGAGTGAATTTACACATACCTAGATGTATGTGTAAGTTCCACAGACCTACTTTTCTCCTAGGATATATAGTATTGCATATTGCTCCTAGGCTACTAACCTGTACAGCATACTACTGTACTGAATACTGTAGGCATTTTAACACATTGGTTCACATTTGTGTATCTAAATATATCTACACAGAAAAAATACAGTAGAAATATAGTATTATAATCACACGAGACCACTGTGGTATTGTTGAACCAAACATCATTATGTGGTGCGTGACTTTTGGCTTTCAAGTCATTTAACCTTTCTTAGCTTTGAATTCTTCTAAAAAAAAATATGGGAGTTTGACGAAATAATTTTTCCTTACAACTCAAGAGTCATTTCTTTTGTAAAGGACAAAAACTTTTTGGTAATGAAATAATCACTGTATATTTGGTTTCCAATTTTAGATTGTTAAATTTTGCTTATATATTGTATTAAAAATCAAACTCATTTAGATTTATCATTGTGTTGTTTCACTATCTGCTTTAGTGTGCTTACATTGTGGGTTTGGTTTTTGTTTTAGGTGCCTCCTTTAATTCCGAAGACCGATTCAGACCCTGAACATCGCCGTGTTGCTGCTCAACTTGATGATAATGTAAGTTAATTTTATTCTTGGTAGTGTTTAGTTTAAGTCATACTCGGCATATCTTTTTAACTTTTTAATGAAGTGTAATATGTATATATATATATATCATTATTGTTCACCTATTATAAGTGTTAAGCTTGATGAATTCTTACAAACTAAACATGCCCATGTAATTAACACTAAGCAAAAAACAGCATGACTATTGCTCCAGAAAAGCCCTTCATCCTCTGCTCCTGTTAGGACCTTCTCTTCCACCAAGGACTATCACTATCCTAACTTCTACTCTGCTTTTATACTTTTTGTATATGAAACTGTAAGGTACATATCCTGTGAAGTCTAGCTTTTTTTTGCTCAGCACTGTGATGTTCTTCCATGTTGTTTTGTGTGATTGTAGTTTCTTCATTCTTGGGACTTTATAGTATTCCATTTTGTAAATATAGTGCAATCTATTTGTTGTATAATGAATACTACTAGTATGAACATTCATCTGTACATGTTGCTGTTGGATCTATACTTAGGAATGAAACTGCTGTATCAGAGGATATATATAAGTTCAGTTATAGTAGATACTGCCAAGTACTTGTTCAAATTGTACCACTTACAGTGCCACCAGCAGTACATGAGAGTTCAGTGTTCTGCATCCTGCCAATACTCAGTATTTTGTCTTTTTAATTTTAGCTATTCTCATTGTATTTCATATGAATTTGCATTTCTATGATAGCTGTTGAAATGTTGAACACCTCTTCATATGTTTATTGGCCATTTGAAAGTCCTGTCTTATGTGTCTGTCAAGACCTTTTGTTATTTTTTTGTTGGCATGTCTATCTTAGTCCTTTTGATTAGTAGGAGTGCTTTATGTAATCTGAATGTGAGTTCTTTGTCAGATACATGTAATGCATTGTCATCTACTCTCTAGGTTGTTTTCTTGTGCTATGCATGCAATCTGTGCCTATTTCTGGGTCACAGAGCTGTCCTAGAACTTTCTCTAAAAATCTTTTTTTACTGTAACAACATTTAGGTCTGCAGTTCATCTGGGATTGATGTTTGTATATGGATTAAGGTATGGGCCAAGTTGATCCAAGCACCATTTACTGAAAAGGTTATCTTTTCAGTACTTTACTATTTCTCCCTTATCACAAACGAGATCATTGTACATGTTTGGATCTGTTTTTGGACTGTGTATTATGTTCTATTAGGCAGATATATTTTAAGGTTATAATTATCTCCTTTGAGTTTCTGATTGAATTTGTTTATAATCAGCTATCTTAAACAAAAATAATATATTTATTTGCTTGTTCAAGATTCTTTTAAGATGTTTTATTGTGTTTATTGATGGTTAATGATATCCATAACATTATACCTTTTGGTATGTGGTTTTTACAGTTTAGCTGTTTATTAGATTTTCTTATGGCACCATACTCGTAGGAATATACTTGATCAGAGAATAGAGAAGTATTTATTCTGTCTCAGTAATGAAATGGGTCTCCCTCTCCCCACTGGTTTTGATTGAGCTATGTGATTTCAATTTGTGGAACGGAAGGTGCACTAAGGCAATGTTTACAACATGACAGTGAAAAATGTGTGACTCATGCTTTCTTGCTAGTATTTAAATTACAGTGTTGATGAGGAAATAATTGGAAACAGTTTATCGGTGATGAAGGAATTATAAAATTACCAGCAGTTGTATGTTGTACTAAATCTGTACCTGCTTTTTACTTTCTATTTTTTCACATCAAAGAATTCTGATTGCCTTCCTTTACTTTTCACCATACTGATTGTATACTCACGTAACAAAAGTGAGCTGATTTTTATTAAAAGCTAAAAGAAAATTCTAGTAATTTAGTAAAATATGTCTTTTGTAATGTTAATTTAGTTTAATGCTGGATTGAACTTCAGCATCTTTTTTCTGAAAGTACATAAATACATACAATTTACTAACTAAGCAAAACATTATTCTTTATAGATCATGTTTTGTTCTATTAAATATATGGACATGTTGAGAATGTCTTACTTTTATGAAAAAGATGCATCAGAAAATAGACAAAGAGTCTAACATTTGCCTTGTCAAACTCATACAACCTCTACCAAAATTAAGAACCAAATCATCTTTTCCTAGGACAATCATGAATCTACTTTGCCTTGAAAATGTTAAAACTATAGCCTTAAAATTTATTCATCATTGTGGGGCCGTGAAGTTCTGTATTCTTTCAGAATGACTACTAGAAATATTTTTTCTAAATCAGAATTAAATGTCAAATTATAAAGGCTAGAATTTAACTTGTTCTCTGACTTGTGAAATAATACCAGTTATCTGTAAATGAAACAGAAGTAACCATTCATAGTAGATAGCTAATTCAAACTTGTTCTTATTTCTTCCCATGTCTTGTCAGGTGGATGACAATATTCCACTTAGGGTAATGCTGCTTCTCATGGATGAAGTATTCGACTTAAAAGAAAGAAATCAGTGGTTGCGAAGGAATATCAAAAACCTACTTCAACAGCTTATTAGAGCTACATATGGTGATACTATTAATAGGTACCACTCTTTCCTCCTCACTTTTAATCTGATCTTAGCCTTTAAACTTCTACTTCTGGAAGTAGCTTGCTCAACCTTTGTAGGAGAATTTTTTCTTCTGGGCCTTTTAAGAAGTTCATTAAAGCAGTCTGCTGCTCTTAGGGATAATTTACATCCAAATTAAGTTGCTTGCTCCAGGAAAGTCATGTTTATTTTTTTCACCTTTTAAAATTTTAACCTTACTCATTTACACTTGTTTACTTTCAGAAAAATAGTTGACCATGTTGATTGGATGACTTCACCTGAACAAGTAGCCGACTCAGTGAAACGTTTCAGGTATATCTTAAGACACAGTCACTTCTTTCAGGTAGTACAGAGTTTAGCATTGTTTTCACTAATTAACTTTCATTGCTTTTGTTTCCTTCCTGGACATAAAGTTGGTTTGTTTGTTGTTGACGAGCAAAAAGACTTAAAAGAATTATAATAATTGTTTGTCTCATGAACCTATTGGTCTTTGTTTCTTTAAAATCGGAATTGGAAAAGTAGAGAAGAAAGATCTTTCAAATAATAGGCTATTATTTATTGCAGTACCATGGCTGTAAGGTAATTGAAATATTTACCTAAAAATGACATGGTTATATAATCAAATATCTAGTTTTTTGGATTCGTTTTTCTCAGTTGTATTTGCTAAGCTTCATTTTAACTGAAAATTTTTTAAGTATGTCTTTCTAGCTGTAATTTTTTATTAAATATTGGAACCTGTGCAAGGAACCCAAATGAAGGAGATACTCTACTTCATATGTTCTTTCTACAAAATACTGAGCCACTCCCCTGTGCCTAGCACTCAGCCGATTACTGAGATAAGATGCAGTCCCTTGAGGAAAATACAGCTAGTAGAGAAATAAACTCCTTCTAAAAGTGAAGATAAGCAATGCATAAAAATTTATGGCATCACATATTTTGAAAGGAAGCAAGAAGGGAACTGTCAGTATTGAACAATAACTAAGTTCTTGGCAGTACTTTATGCTTTCCGATTTTATGCCATTTTACAAAGTAAGTATTTTTTTTATAAGGAAATTGAAGATTAGAGGCATTGATTAGGCTCTCAGGCTACTAAGTGGGGAATCTGGTTTCTCTAATCTGAAGCTAAGTTTCTTCCTACTGTACTATACTGTTTCCAAAACTTGGACTCGTTCATTTTATGTCAGGATAGGTAAATGATGTTCCTCTGGAGCAGTGATTCTCAGCTTTGGCTGTTCATTGGAATCACCTGTAGAGCTTTAAAAATTACTAATGCCTGGATCCCATATCCAAAGAGTTGGACTTAATCCAGCGAAATGCCTGATTCTTTACAGAAAGAGTCTGTAAAGCTCTCAGGTGTTTCTAATGTGCAACGTTAAGAACAACTGCTCTGTGGGGTCTCACCCTCACACCAAATTCCCAGATGAAAGCTTAGTTTTTGTGCTCAGTTCCTGCCTTCAGAACAAGAATTAGGGAACATAAGTAAAGCACACTGAAAGTTAAGATGGGTGGACTGTTTTATGTGTGAAAGGATCATTATAGTCAATCTGTTTGTAAGGTGTGGGCCTGGAATTTAATTTAGTTTTATGTAGGCTTAATTATAAGATGAGTGGGATGGCATAAGTGAAGGAGGTAGCTGTTAAACTCTAAGGCATTGAAATTCAAGATATTGTAGGGCTGCATTTGGATGAGATAGTCAATCAGCAGATGCCCACTTTGTGTTTAAATGACTGTGATATAGCCATCTTTGTATTCCGTTTTGCTGTCTTTGTTAGTGTTAATGAGCTGCCTTGGTGCAGACTTTATCTATTGTTTTTTCTTGTGTTTTTTTAACCCCTGAAATTGCACCCCACACTTAGTTGATCTTTGTTGAATTTCATTATACCTGTATATTAATAAAATTTCAGAAACTTTTCTTCTTTCTGTTCACATTTGTATTTTCTGTAGAAGTTTGAAGTAATTTTATCAACTTGTATCATTAGAAAATGAAAATGTTTACAAAATATATTTAATCTTCTCAAATAGAGATGCATTTTGGCCAAATGGCATTTTAGCAGAGACTGTTCCATGCAGAGATAAAAGTATTCGAATGAGAACAAGAGTAGCAGGAAAAACGAAGTTACTTGCAATTATGCCAGGTGAGTGGGCATGTATAGTTAAAAATCTCTTTAATTTGTCATTCTTATGAATTTTTAGCATTTTTCATGCCAGTGTAACTGCCTTTGAATTATAACAACTATCTTTTGATGGCTTAATACATACCAGGCACTGTACTATGCATTTCTCATACATTCTTAACCAGTCCTCATAACACTACTATAAAGCTAAGGACTGTTAACAACACTGCTTTATATGTGAGGAAACAAGTTCAGAGAGGTTAAATAACCTATCCAAGGTTTATAGCTACTAAGCAACAATTGGTATTCTGACTCAGCTTTAAGTGATATGAAAGCTTATGCTTTTATCCACTTCGCTCTGCTGCCTGGAAGCATTTTGGGAGTCCAGTTGTTAAATTAATAAAATACAGGACAGGTGAAAGGGCTAATAAAATAATATAAAGTTTGAATTTTTCAGAAAGAATATTTGTTCCACTTAGGAGAATAAGCAAATTATTTCAAAGACTCCATTTACCTAGAAACAAACTGATTGGTCGATTATTAATCTTTGTTAATTAAAACATAATCCCAAACAAAGTATAAATAATAGTATTTTGTTGGTCTGATTTTAGTTACTTCATTCGGTTACACCTGTGGCAATACCTTAGATTTACTTTTTCTCGTTTTTCTTCTTTCATTCATAGAAGTTATATAATGTGAAAAGCAATTTAATGTGACTGGGAGGTGGTGATGGTTGTTTTGCCCCTTGTTAATGAATGTCTTTGAAAATACCTACATGTCTTTTCTCTGTATTTTAATTCTGGATGTAGTAAATAAACAGAATTGTAAGTTATTTAATCACACAGTACCTATTTTTTCCCTATAATTTTGTTTTATAATTCAGAACTCCGAATTTCTTCCTAAATTTTAACAGTCAGCTTTCTCTTTTGACAATTAAATTAGAAATTTGCCACATGATTTTAATTCCTACCTATATACTGTTTCATTTGCTAGTAAAAAAGCAACATATAGAAATAACATTTTAAAAAAATAAGCAATAGCTTAGGATATTATTTAATATACTATTATGGTAAACCTGATTGTGCCATATAGACTGACTCAGTTATTCAGCTGGAAGAAATCTTTATTCACTAAATATTTATTGAAAGTTTTGTGTCAGGCAGTGTTCTCTACGCTTACGTTTGTCTTCTTGGAACTTACTTTCCAATAGAGGGACTCAAAAAGACACAAAACAAATAAATGCAACATAGTATGTTAGATATGTGATAAGTACTATAGAGAAAAATAGTGCAGGAAAAGGGAATAGGCGGTGTTGGATGAGTTGCAGTTTTAGATGGGGTGGCCAGGGCAGGCCTCACTCAGAAGATAACAGAGGTCTAAAAATCTGAAGGAATTGAGGGTACATGTAAAAGTATTTGAATATATATATATATATATATATATATATATATAGGCCTTGCCTGTTTTTTAGTAAATTCTCAAAATTTTTGCTTTCAATTGTATTGTACCCCTAGTTAGATAAAGACTTTTTGGAAGTTGCATGTTTCTTTTCAAAGCAGCAAAATAATATTTATATTATCAGGACCTTGATTATGAACAGTTAAGAATAATCATGCATGTTGGTCTCATACTTAAATATCTGTAGTAACTTGGTGTTATTTATGAATAAATGCCAGCTTTGCTCAACCTCACAGTCACAGCACCGTCAGCTTTCTATTTTCTCCACTTTCTTTTATAGGAATCCTGAATAAAATTCAACCAAACTTGTACTATCCTCATTTCTTGAACATGCTTTGTTATTCTAGTTACTGCTTATTTACTCATGTTCTTTTCACCAAGACTAATACATCATTTCATTGCATCTTTCAAAATCCTGCCCATGTAGAAAGTATACTTAACCTGTCGCTTCCTTAATGGGAACTTTTCTTTGTTATCATATCTGGAAGTCTCCCCATTATAGATATTCGTACACTTTTAGTATTTGTATGGCTTGGTTACTATGCCAAGGGTTTTTGTAGGTCAGGGATTAGGTATGGTTTTTTTTTCTGTGTTCCAATGAAACTTTATTCACCATCATGTATTACTTTGTTTTCTTATAGCATCTTTCACTATTCATTAGGCATAATAAGAATATTTTTATAATGTTACAAAGTTTGCAGATCACTTTTCACGTGATCTCATTAAAGACTTATAAATGCTTATACTTATAAAGGACTGTGTTGTGCTCTTATAGTTATAAGGATGTTTGTTATTATAAATCCTCCTTCTCAGATGAGAAAACAGGGTGGTGGGTAAGTATCACATGGGTATTAAGGGACAGGTTTGTAATTGTAGTTTGGGATCTTTGAGACTTTTTTTTTTTTTTTAAACCTCTTATACCTGGGCTGTATTGTCTCCCAGGAGCTTTTGTATAAGTGAGTAGATAGATGCATGCATGCAAAGATGCATATTAAGTTTCAGCTATAATACATAGCTGAAATGCATTAACTGGTTACCTACCATTTATCAGTTACTCTGCTGTGTACCTTAATTTAGGAGCATTTAAGAATTTAGACCTTGTGTTTCCTTTGAGTAATGAGTTATGTGTATTTTCCCCCTCTTCATTTAGATGAACTGAAGCACATTATTGGGGCAGAGACAACACGGAAAGGTATTCTTCGTGTTTTTGAAATGTTTCAGCACAACCAATTAAATAGGAGAATGGTTTATGTCTTCTTGGAAGGCTTTTTAGAAACCTTATTTCCACAGTATAAATTCCGTGACCTTTTCAACAAACTGCATTCACGGTCAAAGCAGATGCAGAAATATAAACAGAAACTTCAAACTACTCAAGCGCCTTCTTTACAGAAAAGGTGACACTCCACTCTATGAAGCTGGTGTTCATTTTGTCCAGGACTAATGGTATGGACAGATCTTCTGGGGCTTAACTTAGATACTGTTGTGTCTGCACCAGTCTTTTAGTGTCTCAAAATAGGTTATTAATACATCCATAAGTCTGTGGTTCTTCTCATTCTCATCTATAATCCACTACCAAGAGAGATTTCCATGTCTTAAATGATTTTGGTGCATATTTTGCAACATTGAGAGGATACTGCCCCCATCTCAAGCAAGAATGGTGTTGGTTTCTTCCATTTCAAACTAATCAGCATTCTCCAGCAATGACAAAGTGCCAGAGTGTATATATGAAAGCTGAGGAAAGCACAAAACAATGGTTCATAGATAAATTGGCTAATTTGTTTAACAGTTGGAGACTGTGTAATATATGATTTGGAGGAATTTGTTTTCCATAATTTTGTAGGTCTGTGTCAGCATTTTGATGTATCATGGATTAGCCAAGTGAATAATCCTTGGAACATCTCTTTCAGGTCTGGGGAAAGAGACAGAATGTCCTTAAAGTGTGAAATAACCTTATACCTGAATTATAGTTTTGTGATATAAAATGAAGCTGAGTATAAAATAAAACCAATCAAACCCAGAATTTGATTGGATTTGTTATTCATTGATATACAACAATTTTTATTCTTATGTGTGCCTTAAGGGCTGTGTTGTGCTCTTATGGTACTTAATTTTATGTTTTCTTTTGACATTGTTGTGCAAAAAGAAGCATGTGGTGGCTCTCATTTAAATTTCAAAATTATTAGTTTTATCTTTAACAGATTACCGATTATACAGAAGAAGATATAATTTATTGGAAGAACTGCCAAGTACATTTTGTCCTTCTAAAAATACAGAAATTTCAATAGTAGTCTGGAAAGTTACCATATGATAATTTTTAATTGTGTGATCTAGACATGCCTTAGGTAACTGCAGAAATAGCAAATTAAATGATTAATGAGCTTATTAGTCATAGTAAACATAAAAATTTATAATTCTATGACAGTGTACATATATGAAAATAAATGATGAAAAAAGAACTATAATATTTTTTAAAATATGCTTTTATTTATATTTCACATGATGTAAAATTCTACAAAATAAAGCTAGTAGGTAAAACCCCTCAGTGTATACCTTTAAATCCATAAATTAATTTTATACCAATAAAACAAAATACTTTCTCTAGTTTTGGAGCTTCTGTATTTCCTATAGTTTTCTCGCTCTCCATTTTGTCCATCTTAGAAGTCTTCATATCCCTTCTATGCAAGATTTCTGCATAGTTTTAAATACTTTCATTGACTTAGGGTTTGGGTGTGTCAGCTTTTTTTGTTTTAAAAATATTTAACACTAAAACCTTAAAATAGTGAAGCTACTTATCAGACCGCTGAGCCAAGATCCTGGTATTAAAAGAAAGTCTGGGTGCTTAAGATAAAGGGACAGAGTATTGGTATCCCAGTTATTTGGGAGCTTTAAGATTGGAACAAGATATTACTGTCTTGTTTTCACTTAGATCCTACTTACAAAGTGCAGCCTATTAACAGAATAAAGCCTTCCTTTAAAGCTTTATAATAATCATATTTATTAATAATGCTGTTGTGCATACTTATAGTATGCATATATTCAGCGTATGTTGCATGTCTTCGGAATTACATAAAATGAAATCCCTTTCATTGCAACTTGCAAGTGAGAAAAGATCCTTAGTGGCTCTGGTGGAAGAAATAATAGTTCTTCTTCTCAGGGTGTCTCCCTGCCTTGGCCTCTCTCTGAGCCACAGGCTTTAAAAGTGAAGATGTGTGAAACATGTTTGTAGGAAGCAGCAGCATGGCCATAAGTGCAGTGATTTTCATGTATGTCCCTGCTCATTTCAAGTATATTTTTGACATGAATAAATCTAAGAGTATACAGAATAACTCAAGTAAGAGCCAGGCGTGTACCTGTGAAAAGTATTTCTCTATAATCTGAGGAGCACTGGTCATCAACCAGGGAAAGAAAGGTCATGTAGTATTGCAAATTTTCAAAATAGAGCCCTGCAAGATAACTGCATTCATACCAAAAACTATTTGAATAAATGGATTTTTTTCTGTTTAAAAGAGTTTATATTTCAGAAGAGGAAAATGTCAAATGATAATCTTTGTAAATGGTGGTGCATTTTCTCTATGCACATCTGTGTTTACATCCAAAAGAGCTGTGGTCATGCTAAAATTAGAGATACTTTTTGAATGACTTGGTCAAGCTGTGTGTAAAATATTTAACCATAAGTCAAGTACAGTGTACTATGTTTAGTAAAGTTATTACATTTAATGCATTTATTGCATATATGAATATATACATGAAGAGAGTATGTCTTCTGGCATTTAATTTTGAATGTTTTTTAAGTCAGTGGTGCCTTTAGGCAAGAACTTTCAAAATTAATCAGTCTTTGTGTTTTCTAATTTTTCAGGTAACATGTGAACTATTTAGAAACCATAATAGTTTATTCACCATAAAAATTGATTGTATTATTTAAATATATCACTTAGATGGGCATTTCCTATAATTAGGATATTCCAAATAGTTGCTGAAATCAGTTGTGCCATTGACCAATGGATGCACTTGGTTAGCCTTAATTTTTTTTAAAAAACAAAACATTAAAAAGTTTCTTGAATATTTCAGTTTGTCCATTTTAAGTTTGTGCTACTGGTGTTTGGAAAAAAATCAAACAATTAAGTGCTACCAGAAAGTGTACCAATTTTTATAAAAATTAAGAATAATATAAATTTCACAATATAAAATTTTAATTTTGTGCAATATTTTCATTTAATGCATGTGTATTTGAGTAATTGTAAGATAAATGAATTCTTAATTTTTTGAGATGTAGCTTAAACTGTCTTCTTAATTCAACAACTTACATTCCGTTGTTGCTGCATCCTTTTATTTAAGGACTTGTTTTAAAAGTCTTTTGTCACTCCTTGGAAAATTATTTTATTAGTAGTAAATTTTGCTTATAGGAGCATGGCTCCTGTATTACAAGGGAAAAAATATAAAGAGCACATTTTAGGATTATAATTGTTGAAAGATAATGTGTGCATATCATTGTACAGTGTCAACTGTGTGCCTAACTGTCCTATCAATACTTCTTTGACAAAGAAGAAACAATCAGAATGTCAGTTATTTTTATTCAACTAAAAAGATTAAAAAATTTATTTGGTTTGTGTTCTGTTCATTAGAAAATACTAATAAAGTATTAACAAACATTTTTGTTGAGTTTATTTAGTAGTAATGTATTTTTATTACTTTTAAGATGCTTGCTCAGGAGTCTGGTTTTTAGTATCTGTTTGTATTTCATTTTCTTTTAGAGATCAACCAATTCAGGTTCCAGATTGACAGATGAGTGCTTGGGCGATTACTGACTTAAACGGACTGAATTTAATTTTTTCTTTTGTGGCAAATAATTTAGGACCACAATGTTAAAGACACATCATACTTCTTCATGATATAAAATTATGAAGTTTTTTTTCCCACAGATGGAAAGATTTATAATTGGTAATCCATTAATTTTATTTGATCTCATTTTAAATTCCTATTTTGGCTAATATTTTAGACTTTTTCAATTCTAAAAGACAGTAGATTGGTCATAATATTTGTATCCTTCTTGGAGCTGTATCAGCAGACTTCTAAGGGCATCAGATGTGATAACTTTTTAGTTATCAGGGATTGGCATAATATTTCTTAAAATGCATATGGTAAAATATTGTTTCCTTTAAGATGTTCCTGAGGGGAATGTTTTGTACTTTTATGTAACTTATACAGGACTATCTGTATATGAACCAAAAAGCAGAAATGTTCCTTTATAATTCAAATGATTGTGTCAGAAATTCTGAGACATTCTATAAGAAACTTGTTTAACTTTGCTTACCTAATTTTCTAAACTTGGTTAACCACAGAATCTTTTGTCATGAACAGCTTGAGGATGATGTTCTCAAGTAACGTATTTTGGAAAATAGTAGGAGAGAAAAAAAGGTCAAGGGTCTTTAGTTACGGAATGTAAACTGGACAGAAAAGACAGTGGATTTGGAGCACAAAGATTTTTTTCCTGCTTGCCATTTTAATGGAATGTTCAATCTTTGGAAGAAAAGGGAAAGATGGATAAAGATAAAAGTTGAAAAGTTAACAGCTGATTATATAGCAGATATTAAAGAGTTAAATTTGGCTCTGAATACCAGAATAATGACTTCAGTGAAGAATAATAGAGCACATCTCATAAGAAGTGGGAAATATACTTCCACAGATTTTGCTGATGTGACCAGAAGAGTAGTAACTGGAAAATGCAAGGGGAAGAAGGAAATGCCATACAGTTTAGTTTATATTTGTGCCAGACATTGGCCCATGTATATAAAATGACAGGTAATATGTTTGATTTAGGAACACTTGCAGCAGTTGAGAGTGAAAAATGAAACTTAACCCATGTGTTTACCAATTCCCTGTATGAGAGATGCATTAAACATGATCTTTTACATATCCTCAAGAGTGAAATCAAACAGTAGAACTATGTGTTAGGAGTTATCCCCCTTTGGCGATTGACTAGGAGGGCTTACAGAACTCAGCATATAGTCATAGCTAAGATTTATTATGGCAAAAGGATTTAGAACAAGAGCAAAAAGAGAAAGTGCATGGATGAAGTCTGGGGAGAGCAGGCTTAAGCTGCCACTGCTCTCTCCCACTGGAGTCACACAAGATGCAACTTAACTCCCCAGCGAGTAGTTGTGACAGCACCTGTGAAATGTTGCCATTTAGGGAAGCTCATTGGAGACTTGGTGCCTAGGGTTTTTATTGAAGGCAGTTTATTTAGGCCCCCTTTGCCTGGCACATAACAATTCCAGACTCAGAAAACTGTTCAACATATGCCATATTTTTGGTACAGTTTAGGCTTACTGAGCCACATCAGTTTTGGGATGGGTAGGAATACTCCTAAAATTCTCAAACACCTGAGAACAAGGGCCAACCTTGTAAGGACGTCTCCAAGGAGAACAGTCAAGCCTCTTATGTTAACTCTTCTGTGTGACTGTATAATTTGATCAAAGGAAATGGATAATAGAAAGTGATGTTGAAAGTCCGTAAGATTTATTCTTGTGTTGAAGCCTCCACATCTAGAAATGGAAATACGGCAAAGGAAATTTTGATGTAATAAAAGGACAAACTATTGAAATGATATTGATGTGGATATATATTGCAGTCTGAGAAACTGGAGGAATCTTTCCAATAAAGATTACCATAGCAAATGGTTATATGGCACTTAATAGTCACAACAACCTTAGGCATTATAGTACTGTTTTGTCTTCAGTTTATAGATGGGCACACTAAGAGTAGTTGAGTCAGTTTGTTCAAAGCTTCACAACTGATAACTGGTTATGAAGCTGAAATCTCAACCCCGGTGGCCTGACTAGTCTATGTTGTGATTTCTCAGCAGTGGCACTATTGACATTTTGGGCTACGTAATTCTTTGTTGTGGGAACTTCCCTGCGCATTATAGGTAATGCATTATTTTACTCATTCTGTCCATTAGTAACTAATATTTGAGAACATTTACAGTAGTAATGGAATTAATCTAAGAGAATTTCAACTTAATTTTTTTAAACATCTGAATACCGGGTATTAAGAGATATTCAAAATAATTGTGATCAAGATTATGTTGAAAACTAATAAATACTTAGTGTTAATATGTCTACATAAAATTCTGTTTTTGGTGTAATATTCTTAGGCTATTAGGAAAAAAAACATGGTTTACTTCACTAGGAGGAATATCTCTTAATACTGAGATGGCCTCATCCCTGGGCTCTGCCCATCAGGTGATGCCAATAGCACCTCCTCTCCCATTATAACAACCAAAAATATATGTGGACATTGCCAAATGATATGGGGCAGGGGGAGGGCAAAATTACCACCAATTGAGAACTACTGATCTTAGTTGTCAGTCACAAAAACAAGGTAAGTAGAAGATTGAATTCTGGATTGCTGAATGTCTTCTCTCTTTTAAGCAATTACTTGACAAATGTGTGGCTCGCATTGTACGGAGAATGTAAATGTAAATAGAATGCCTACTTCTGCCTTAAAGGGAGGAGAAGGCTTGGGGCAACAAACCCAAATTTCTTACCTTGCTTAAGCATCCCACAGTTGGGGGAGGTGGGTAGGGAAGGGACTTACAGCCTAAGATAAATAAGGAAAACAGTTTTTCAAGATGTTTGAAGATGTGAGGTAAATGATTACATTAAAAATTGTTGGCTAACAATTGTAAGGCTAATTATTTTAGTATTAATGGTTCTTATGAAAATTTTTCTTTCAAATAACTGTTGTCCTTTTATTTGTGAGCCAGTTCTTCTAAAGCCTGAAAATTTTCTTGCAGCCTTCTTTGCAAGTAAACTCTTGCCTAAATCCTCTTGTCTGAGTTTTTTCCTTCAACAGGTGGATGTTCCACTGGGAATGCCTAGGTGACTCACCGGCTGAGCCAGCTTCGCCTCATTGGCTGTTTACATCCAGGCTCACCTTGCCTCCAGGATGAACCTCATTCAACAATTAGAGCCTTTACATTTGCTGACTGTTTTCTACTTTCCCCTTCTCATCGTTCTTTTTCTGGGTGTTGGTGAAGTCTCATTCTGGTTTTGATTAGTGGATAGCTGTTTTATTTCTCAATTGATGGAAGCAGTTTTGGGGAGCGGACTCGTGGTGTGACCTAATTTTCTGTCAAGCAGCTGTTTATCTTTCTTGATTGCCTTCATTTCTTCAAGACTCTTTATATCAACTGGCATCTTGTCTCTCCTGTATGACTAAGTTCATGTTGCAGTCAGTTTCTCCTGCCAGTGGCGACTCCTTCATGTTTCTTGTCTATTTACATTGAATACTATTTAAACAGTATTCAAGAGAATAGTTTTCAGGCTTGCTGGAAAGAAAGCATCTTTCAGCTATCCTTTGTGTCTGATCCTCCTTTAGTAAGTCGGTGAGTGTTGTTCTTTCTTTTTTATTAAAAAGGATAAAGGTGTGTGTGTGTGTGTGTGTGTGTGTGTGTAAACAAGAAAATACTTCTCTCCTTGTAAGGTGTGTGTATGTATGTGTAAATGAAAGAAAAGACCTCTCCTTGTAAAAGGCTTTTACAGATGTTTATACTTGTAACACTTCCTGTATTTGCAGCTGGCATTTACCCAGTTTATGGTCTCTGAACTGAAAATTAATTGGACATAAAAACTGATCATTTCTATATAATGGAATGAGACAGCAGACTGAATGGGAAAATTACTTCTGGCATTTCTGGAGCTTCCTGACTGCCTAAGCAATCTAAAGGGTATTGGTTGCTTGGATTTTTCTTTCTCCTTTCTTTAAAAAAAGAAAAAATGTTCCATAAAATAAAATGAATCAAATACAAACCAGATGTTCTGAAAAAGCTTTGTGTTTAAAAAACAACAACAAAACAAATACTGAAATGGGAAGAATTTGGCACTAAACCCCTCCAGAGTGCCCTAGTATTTTATCATATGACTATACAGTATTTTCTAAATACATTTGTTGATAAACTTGCATGCCTTTGCTTCTTTCCAGAGATAAGTAATAAAGTAGGTTTTAATGTCTCTTAAATTTAATGGAGCTCTGTATCCACTCCAAATCTGAATGTTGTCCCATTATTGGAGGTGGGGCATGGTGGAAGATGTTTGCATCATGGGGGCGTATTCTTCATGAATGGCTTGGTGCTATCCCCTTGGTGAAGAGTGAGTTCATGTGAGACCTGGTTGTTTAAAAGGTGTGTGGTACCTCCTCCTTTTCTCTGTTGCTCCTACTCTCACCATGTGACAATCCTGCTCCTGCTTCAGCTTCTGTGATGACTAAAAGTCCCCTGAGACCTCCCAGAAGCTGAGCAGATGCCGCTTGAGCAGCCCACAGATCAATGAGCCAATTAAACCCCTTATCTTCATAAATTACCCTGTCTCAGATATTCCTTTATAGCAATGCAAGAACAGCATAACACAAGCTCCTATTTTGATTGGCATAAACAGACAAAGTAAGACTTGTTTAAGTTTAAGAGACATAGTTTTCAGAGAGAAAGGAAAAAAACTTCAATGGGTAAATTTGCTAGTTCTTTTAGGAATTTCAGATTCTTAAGGACGTTGGTAGAAGTAGCCATGATTTAAATTAATGGCCTTGACTGCTAAATTACAAGAAACAAAGGTATACATATGTTATCAAATAACAGGAAATCTAAGACCATCAGTATTTTTAAATAAAATGAGGTTTTTAATCCCATTAAGAAGTGGGCAAAGGATCTAAATAGACATTTTTCAAAAGACATGCAAATGGCCAACACATGTATGAAAAAGTGCTTGTTATTAATCAGGGAAATGCAAATCAAAACCTTGAGATGTCATCTTACCTTAGTTAGAATGGCTGTTATCAAAAAGACAGAAAATAACAGATTCTGGGAAGGATACAGAGAAAAGTGAACTCTCATACCCTGTTGGTGGAAATGTAAATTAGTGTAACCATCATGGAAAAACAGTATGGAAATTTATCAAAAAACTAATAATAAAACTGCCATATGATCCAGTAATTCCACTACTGGATACTTGTCAAAGGAAAAGAAATCTATATATCAAAGGGATGCATGTACTCTCATGTTTATTACAGCACTTTTGACGGTAGCAAAGATATGGAATCAACCTAAGTGTTCACCAGTGGATGAATGGATAAAGAAAATATGGTATATTTGCACAGCGAAATACTATTTGGCCACGAAAAAGAATGAAACCAAATTTGCAGCAACATGGATGGAACTGGAGGTCATTAAGTGAAATAAGCCAGCCATGGAAGGATAGCTGTTACATAACTCATGGGAGCAAAAAAAGTTGATTTCACAAAAGGAAATAGTAGATTGATTGTTATAAAAAGCTAGGAAGAATGTCAGTGGGAGGTTGTTTGGGGGAGACAATGAAGGGAGTTCATAATGGGCAAAAATATACAGTTATAATGTAGAGTAGGGTGGCTATACTTAATGTATTGTACGTTTCAAAATCATAGATGTAAGGACTTGAATGTTCTCAGCATCATAGAAATGATAAATGCTTGTGGTGATGGATGTCCTAAATACCGACCTGATATTACATAATCCATGCATGTAAATTATCACATGTTTTCCAAAAATATATACCAGTATGTATCAATAGATTACTCAGCTCTAAAAAATGAGTTTTTTATTATTTGGTATGTAATGGTGGCAAAAGATCAGGTAATATTACTAAACAAAATGAATACTTAGTTGAGACAAGTGTAATAATTTTTACTTAAGTCAGCTGTATGTTTTTGCCCTGATGTGAATTACTCTAAAGTTTCTAATTTATGTAAAATTTTGTTATGTTTTCTTATGAGCAGCAGAATTTGAACACCATGAATTTTCTACACTGATTTAATCGGTCAGGTAAGAGATTTGTCTCCACAAAACATTAAAGATTATGAAGGTATGAAAAACATTTGTTCAACTAAATTAGTAGTTTTCAACTGGGGGTCATTTCACCACTCATGGAACATTTGATAATATATGGAGACATTTTTGATGGTCACTACTGGTATATTGCTGCTGTTGTCTTCATGGATGGAGACCAGGGATGATGCTAAATATCCTGTAGCTCCCCACAGTAAAGAACTATATGGTCCAAAATGTCAAGAGCACGAGGCTGTGAAACACTGCACTAAATTATGTTTTTATAAAGAAGCATTTGTTTCTCTGATGCTACAGATCATATGATGGTGGTGTGTTGATAGTTATTCCATTTATAATGTCTATTTAAAAAAATGTTCGTATTCTTAAAATTTATTGTATATATCAGTGGTTTCTTTTATTGTTAATATTTCATTGTATGGATATGCCACAGTTTTATCTATTCACCGGTTTAAGAACAGTTCGATTCTTTCAAGGTTTGGGTGAGTATTAATAAAGCTGCTATAAACATTGTTGTATAATAACGAATTTGGCCCTTTCCTTGTTTCTTGGGAGTCTATAAATCCTTGGAATTTCCCTAGGTAACAGGAATGTATCTGATTCATGAGCCCTTTGGATTACCCAAGTTTATGCTAACCAGATGAGATGATTTAGGATGGAGGCTGGTTCCCACAAAAATTAACCTGTGAATAGAGTAGTGGGGATTTTGAGCCAGCTGGCCTCTAAGGAGGGGAGGAGTGGAGATTGAGTTCAATCACATGGGTAATCAGTTGTGCCCGTGTAATGAATCCCCAATAAGCACTCTTGACAGCAAAGTTCAGTAGAGTTTCCTGTTTGAAGAACACGTTGGTGTGCCAAAAGGATATCAAAGAAGAATATTTGAAGAGATTTAATTTCAAAGATCTAATTGAATTTTATTAGCAATTCATGAGCCAGGCAGCATCCAGTCTACAAAATAAAAAGGAGCTCCAATTAGCTAGAGAGTAGATGAGTTTTATGGCAGAAAATGGAAGCAAGCAAGAACAGCGAACAAATTAATGGATGGATTATTTTAAGAATACATTCCTTTTAGAGGACTAAACAATCTTGTTGGCCTAATGGAATTTGGCATTATCTCCTGATTTCTCAGAAGGTCAGATATTAGAAGTGAGCAGTTTAGGTTTGGTGACCTGGAAACTTGGCATAGTGACTCCATTTTGGACCTGCTGCCTTTTCTGTAGTAAGAGTGACAGACACCCTAATTCGATGGGAAGAACTCACAGAAGCCCTGTGTTTCAGAACCTCCTAGACTCTACCCTTTGTCTCTTCTGGCTGGTTCTGATTTTTATTTTTAAAATAAAAAGTAATACTGATTCTTTTGATTTTAAAGAATAAAGCTACAATCGTGATTATGGTGGTTTCCTGAGTTACATGAGTCACTCTTATCAAACCTGGGAACATTGTGGAAACCCCAGGATTTGTAGCCAGTTGATCAAAAATACAGGTGACTTGGGCACCCGCAAGTGCATCTGGGCCTCAGAAGTAAGGGAAGTCTTACTGAGGAGCATGTTTTAAACCTGTGACGTGTGATGCTAATTCTGTGGTTAGCATTGGAGTTCTATTACAGTATACCAGGTGTCATCAGAATAAACATTCATGTACCAGTCTGTGGACATATGTTTTAATTCTCTTGGATACATTCCCAGGAGTAGGATTGCCAAGTTATATGATAAATATATATTTAACTTTATGAAAAACTGCCAAATTATTTTCCAAAGTAATTATAGCATTTTGTATTTCCACCAACAGTATGTGTTTCCATTGCTCTGCATCCTTGCTAGCACTTGCATTATAAGGCTTTTTTTTTTTTTGGTCTTTAAGATTAGCTATCCTAATGTATGGGCAGCTGTCTCTGATTGTGGCTTTAGTTTGGGTTTTCCTAATGTTTTACATATCTTTTCATTTGCTTACTTGCCATTCTGTCTCTGTTAAAGTGGGTTCTCAAATCTTTTGCTCATTTCTTTTTATTTAGGTTTTTTATTAATGAGTTCTAGGAATTATGTGTACATTATGGAAACAGGTTCTTTATGCATGCTTTGCAAAAGTTTTCTCTGTATCTTTTAATTTTCTTAACAATATTTTTCAAAGAGCAGGAGTTTTTAATTTTGGTGAAGTGCAGTTTATCAATTTTTCCCTTTCATTCTTAGAAAACTTTGCTAAACTCAGTATCACAAAGACGTTCTCTTACATTTTCTTTCAGAAGTTTTATATTTTTAGATTTTACATTTAGGTCTATAATCCCTCTCTCAAATTTGTTTTTATGTATGTTGTGAGGTATAAATTGAGTTTTTTAAAAAATTAATGCCCAGTCATTCCAGCACAATTATTGAAAAGATCATTCTGTCCCCCATTAAATTACCTTGACACCTTTGTTGAGTCAATTGTTGACCATACATGTGTGGTTATATTTCTGGATTTTTGTTCCATGGATCTTTGTATATCTATTCTTTTGCTAATACTATAAAGTTATAATAAATCGTAAAATTAGGTAGTTTGAGTCCTCCAACTTGACTTTGGTTTTTCAAAACAGTTTTAGCTATTTGGGCACCTTTGCTTCTCCATACGAATTTTAGAATCAGCTTGTCTGCCAGGCAAAACAAAAATGAAAACAAAAAAAAATTCTACTAAGGTTCGCATGTATTCTATAGCTCAGCTTGGTGAGAATTGGCATCTGAATACAATTTCTCATCAGTGTTATAGTTTCATTGAATAAACCATTTACATATTTTGCTAGATTTATTCAGTGTTTCATGTTTTTTGATGTTATTATAAATGGTTATATATTTTAATTTTAATTGTTAATTGCTAGCATGTAGATATACAGTGTTTTATATTCATCTTATATTCAGTTACCTTGCTAAACTCACCTGGAGATTCTATGGGATTTTCTGCTTAGACAGTCATAACATATGTTAATAAAGGCAGTTTAAAAATCTTCATTTATAATTTTTTTATTTAAAAAAAAATTTATTATATAGAGTTGGGGTTTTGCCCTGTTGCCCAGACTGGTCTCAAACTCCTGGGTTTAAGTGATCTACCTGCCTTGGCTTCCCAAAGTGCTGGGATTACAGGCATGCACCACTGCGCCTGGCCTAAAATCTTCATTTTCATTCCCTTAGCCTTTTCTCTCTTGTTTTATTTTACTTTCTAGGAACTCCAGCATATTGCTGAACAGGAATGATGAGAGAGGACATCTTTGCCTTGTTCTTAAAATTAAGGGAGAGGTAGTTTTTTGCCATTCAGTTTGAAAGTTAGTTGTTGGCTTTTTGTACATGCCATTTATTTATTGAACTGAAGGAGTTCTCCTTTATTCCTATTTGCTGGCAGCTTTTATCACAAATAAATGTTGAAGATTTCAAATGCTTTGTATCGTTTTCAGTGATCATATAGTACTGTTTTTTAGTCTGTTGATATGGGGAATTACATGATTTTTTCAATGCTGAATAAACCTTGCATTCCTGAGATTAATCCCAATTGGTCATGACATAAAATCCTTTTTATACACTGTTAGATTTGAATCTCTATTATTAAGGATTTTTGCCTGTATAATCATGAGGAATATTAGTCACTGGTTTTCTTTTAATGTTTGGTTTGTGTAGCAAAGCAACAACATCATAAAATGAGTTGGGATGTATTCCCTTTTTTTTTTTTTAATATTCTAGAAGAATATGTTGTTTCTTCCTAATTGTTAGAATTTGCCTGTTAGGCTATGGTTTTCTTTCTTGGAAAGTCTTGAACTACAAATTCAGTGTCTTTCATAGATAAAGGACTGTTTGAGTTATTTATTTCTTCTTGAAAAAGCTTTGGTAGTTGGAGTCTTTGAAGGAATTTTATCTAAACTGTTCATTTCATGTAAGTAAGGATTTCTCAACCAAGATGACATTTGGGCAAGATAATTCTTTGTTGTGGGAGGATGTCTTCTGCAGTATGGGATGTTTAACAACATCTCAGGCCTCTACCTACTAGATGCCAGGAGCAAACCCCCAAGTTGTGACAATTAAAAATGTCTCCAGACATTTTGCCAGATGTCCCCTGTTGGTTGTGAACCACTGATTTAAGTGATCCAATTCATTGGCATAAAGTTGCGTATATATGTTATTCCCCTCCTATTCTTTAATATATATGAGAACTATGAGGATATTCTTTCTTTTACTCCTGATACTGGTAATTTGTGTTTCTTCTTTACCCTTCCACCCCCTTTCTTTCTACGCTGCCTCCTGTCTCTTTCACTTATCAGACTGGCTAAAGTTTAATTAATTTTATTGATCTTTGTAAATTGGCTGATTTTGGTTTCATTGATTTTTCTCTTGTTTTTCTGTTTTCTGTTTTATTTAAGTCTGCTCTTTATTGTTTATTTCCTTTTGCTTGATACAGGTTTAATTTACTCTTTTTTTAATTCTTAAGGTGAAAGCTTAGATGATTGACTTCAAACTTTGTTTTTTTTTAAATATAATCATTTAATACTATAAATTTCCCTTTAAGTATGCTTAGGACAAATTAGGAGTTTTTTTAAAATTCATTTTGATTTACCTCGGAAGATATTCTTTTTCTATCTGATTTCTTCTTTGACCTATGGATTATTCAGAGATGTGTTAATTTCTAAATATTTTTGTTTTTTCATATTTTTATATTGATTTCAAGTTTAATTCCCTTTTAGTTGTAGAAAACACTTAATATGATTTCAGTTCTTTTAAATGTGTTAAGTTTTGTTTTGTAGTCTAGAATATGATCTGTCTTGTCAAAAAGAATGTATATTCTGCCTGTTACTGGGTGGAGTGTTCAGTGATTGTTGGTTAGATCAACTTGGTTGATTGTGGTATTCAAGACTGTAATATCCTTACCAATGTTTTTTTTTTAATTTGGTCTATCAGTTACTGAAAGAATAATGCTGAAGTATCCCAGTAAAATTATTATCTATGTTTCCCTTTTATTTCTGTCAGATTTTGCATCATGTTTTTGAAGCTTTGTTCCTAGGTGCATATATATATATATATATATATATATATATATGAAACAAATATCATATATATATATGTGTGTGATGAATTGATTATTTTATCATTGTCTAATGTTCTTTATCCCTGGTAATATTATTTGTTTCCAAGTCTACTTCATCTGATATTTATAAAGCCACTCCAGCTGTCTTTAGATTAGTGTTTGAAAAGGGTAAGTTTTTCATTCTTTTACTTTTAAGCTATTTGCGTCTTTATTATTTAGAGACAGGGTTGGCAATTTTTTTCCATAGCTGGCTAGATAGCTAACATTTTAGACATTATAGGTTACATATGTAAAAACCATTCTTTGCTTTCAGACCTTAAAAATATATGTGCAGCTAGAGTTATCCAGTGGGTTGTAGTATGTTGACCCTTGTTTAACAGGTTTTTTTTGTAGACAAAATAGAGTTGACTGTTTTTTTTTGTTTAAAAGAAATCTCTGCCTTTATTTTGTATTAATGTAATGTATTAAATGTAGTTGTTTTAAT